TTAGCATGCGACCACTGCAGTTTAGATAAGGATATTGCAGACCAAGTGCAGGGGTCTCTTTGTTCTTTGTACAAATACATCAGCACGAAACAATAACACGGCGGTAGAGAACAGGAAAAGGAAGAGGAAGTAGAGCAAATTCATTACAGAGAGGAAGCAGCGAAGGTGTGTCAATAAACACTTTCCAGACTTTGAAAGAATAACGTGTCGTGAGTAATTACCGGGGGCCACTTCTGATGCGCCGTCATCACTTCACAGTCCCGGCACACACGTCCTCTGGCTTTGACGGCCACAAGTCCTCCGCGTATCAGGCCCCAAATTTAGAATCGCCAACGGTTGATGCAGATGCAGTCATCCTCGAATTCGTATTCACACCGGGCAAACGCGTGGCCTCCTTCCTTGTTCGTCCGAAGTGTGTTGTTGTATTTAAGGTGCTCAATGGTAAATAATATATGTTTTTCTTTTGCCCGGCATTTCACAACACAGAGAAGAGTGGCACCTGTCTGTTTAAAAACAGCACGAGCTTTCGAGTTGAATGGAGTCCCTTCAGATTGGGTCTGCGTCATAATGCATAGGCGTTATCATGCCAGGACATATATGTCGCCATTGTTGAAGACCATTTAATAGGAATATATGATACTGTATATCTGTCATCAGAACATAGCTGTTAAAATACGGTAAAAGCCGCAAGATAAAAACAATCAATGGTTCCCGGTGAAGCTCTGTCGCAGCCTTGGTGGTGTTCCTGAGGTGAACATCATTGATAATCTCTCATTCCTCTGAGCTGCCGTGCGACTGGCTATAACTAAATCTGTAGTAATCCATGGAGACAGGTCTACAGGAGCCCTTAATATAATTGAGTAGTTGATCCTTTGTTCCATTAGATAATACTTGTCTCCTAATGACGACTCTGGAGGATTCAGAGTGTTCCTCTAACCATCCCCTGCCTCACCGTTGCTTATGCTGAGACACTTACGTAACGTACAAAAGTAATCAATATAACCACATTAAATTGGACAGGAGCATACCGTGAAGGTGACTGGTCAAATCCTTTACCATTTCCACGTGTTGAGATACTGTATAGGAATTAATCTGTCTCTATAATGGCAATGAAAATGCCTGCAGAAGGATGAACCAATGTGTGATTGACATTTAAGAGTCCGACGGAGCTCTCGAATGCTCATGAATGAGTCACTATGGAATGCCGTTTTAGTTTAAATTAAATAAATAAATAAATACATAAATACATGAAATATGCATTTCGAAATACATTATGAAATAAATAAATGCAATAAATACATGAATATTAAATACATTTAATTATTTCATGGTACTTTTATTTCATAATGACACTTTTCATTTCCAGAGTCTTTTATTTCACAATGCCGTTTTACATTTCCAGAGACTTTTATTTCATAATGCTGTTTTTCATTTCCAGAGACTTATTTCATAATGCTGTTTTACGTTTCACATTCTTATATGCAAATCAGGGTGCATGGCTACATCTAACATTCAGAACAGACAACAGAGCCGTGTGCAAAAGAAGGCTGGCTAAGGGACGTGAGATTAGCGCTGGTACTACAAGCACAGGTGCTGGACGCCCGCCTCTGGATATTCCGAGCATCAGCACCTGTGCTTGTAGTACCAGCGCTAATGTTGACTTCATCAAATTGGACCTCTTCCACACGCACGCGGTGCTCAATCAGTCCTAAACAATTTAAAACTTTGTCGTCTATGTATACATCTTGAAGAGCACTTATCCGCCCTAGTATTTCCAAAAAACCCACAATATGTGTCAAAATCGTATCTGCAGAAAACCCATGTTGATCGATTTGATCTGCTAATGCTAGCATGCTACCTCGGAGCCCACCGATGTCTTCCATTATGTCAACACTCACGTCCCTTAGCCAGCCTTCTTTTGCACACGGCTCTGTTGTCTGTTCTGAATGTTAGATATAGCCACACACCCTGAATTTGCATATAAGAACGTGAAATGTAAAACGGCATTATGAAATAAGTCTCTGGAAATGTAAAACGGCATTATGAAATAAAAGTACCATGAAATGAAAAGTGGCATTATGAAATAAACGTACCATGGAATGAAATAATTAAATGTATTTAATATTTATGTATTTATTGCCTCATTTATTTATTTCATGATGTATTTCAAATGCATATTTCATGTATTTATGTATTTATTCATTTATTTAATTTTGACTAAAACGGCATTCCATAAGTCACAGGTTTGACTTTGGTTTTGAATAGAAAAAGTTGAAGGTGGCATTAAAGGTCAAACTGTCAAAGAACAAAATTAAACAAGGAATCAAAATCAAGGCCATTATTCTGTTGAGGTAAATAGTGCTTTTATCCCCTTTTGAAACAACAACTATTGCCTAATAAATACATTTACTTGAAAGAAAATCTGTGCTTCTTTGCTTGTAAATCCCAGCATGCACGTTTTAAACAAGATTGCACATTTTTGCCATCAATCAAATTCCACATATTCAATATTTTGTAAATCACAAAACATGTCAGCAAAAGAATAGCTTGCTCATAAACGCCGTTTCCAAACAGTTCCAGCGGACGTTGGAACCACAATGTAGACCGTAGATGCTTTTAGGAGATTTTGGGAGATAAAACCTTGCTACAAGCAGCCGACGGATAGAAGAAGCGCCTTGTTTTTGCACGTGTCAAGTCAGATTCATTCACTGTTATAATAATCAATAAGCTAAAGCAACATGTGTAAACATTCAATATACCTTCAGCAGCTAGCATATAGGATTAGCATTTCGACTATTGATTAGAGAAGCTCTGGAAAATATCATTGCCTTTAAATTAATGATTACAAATAATATAACAAAGTTGTCAGTTCAAAGAGAAAATGCTTGAAGAAATCGTACAAAGCATCTTTTGATGGTTTGTTGATGCCCTTGTGTCTGGTAGACTATAACTCAGTGTGCCACCTAGAACCCTAATCAGCTTCTATCCATCCAATTTGGATTGGCTGCATTTAGAATTTCACACAGTGACCCGATGGAGACCTACAATTACAATTAGAAACGACTGACACTGAAAACACTGATGGCGATGATTATTTTTCGTCATTCGCTGAGAAAGAAAAGTGCTCATGTGACCTTAGAATGGTTGGAAACATTTCATTTAACGCGTCTTATATAATTTGGCCCTTAAGCCTTTCTTCCCGGGTTCTCCAGATACTTGTGCGTGCTGAGATGTGACATGTGTGCCGGCGGCGCCACGGATCCTCCACAGTTTCATTCAGCGGACCGGTGCTTGTCTCATAAACACCCCCCCTAAGGGCAGACTAATTCTCACGAACAAGGTTTTTTATTGGTATTTTGCAGAATACATTCGTCCTTTTCGCACCTCGGATGGAGTGAAGGAGGTGGCAGACTATTTTGACAGTAATTGGATGGTTGATTGTTGTGGTGGGGGTCACCTCGGGCAAACGACGGCAAACAAAACAAACGGCAGCCTCATGTCCGCCCTCGTAGCCCGATGCAAGCAACCGGACGTTAGCATGCCTGCAGCGTGCGGCCTCTTGAAGAAGTCATCGGGGTCGTCCCCATTCGGCGGAACGACCTCGTATGCACAACCACGGGGTCAGCGCTCCCAATCATTCGCACGTCCTCTGCTCTGTAAAGCGCCTTGACTCCCCCCCCCCGCTGGATCAGCAAGCCTCTGGTTGCTGCCTTCGCGGGTTCGATCCAACCCGTTGTGACACCCCCTCCCACTGCCCTGCTCCCACCACACCTGTAATGGCTCAATGGTTGTGCAATTGTTATGTCATTAATCAGAAATTGTACCTGTTGACAGCGATGGCGACAACGTTGACCTCACACGGATGAGTTAAAGCAAACTAACAAGGTTTTTGCCGCTTTATTTGTCTCCATCCATGCAATGGAAGAGCGAGACGACGAGGTTTCACGTCATGGTTTCCCACACAGTTCTGTGTACAATCCATTACAACACAGCACAACACCACAAAATGAGAATGAAAAGAGGATCGAGTTAACATATTGGACAGTTTACATACTTTACGAGGAAAGATTTCAGATTTCCTCTCTGAGTAAGCTGAACACTCTCTTTGTTTTAGCCATATGAAGAAAACAGTTGATCCTTGTACTCATGATCTTGCAAATGTCTTCCCATCCGATCAGCTGGTCATCACATTCCTGTCATGTGACGCAGCAAATGTTTGAAAATGCTTCAAACAGCGTACAAAACAACTCCCCCCCCCCCCCCCCAAAAAAACGCAGAGCTTAGCATCCGCCTCCCTGTGTGAGAATGTCAGAATTTGTATAGTGAAGCTAACTGGTTGGAAGGGGGTGGATGTTGATAGGTCTGTTTCCCTCACGAGTGCAGTGACCCAGAAGTGTGGAGGCTTATCCTCCTCCTGCTCTCCGTTCAGGCTCAATCTTCACAGGGAAATCACGGTTTTATAAGTCGGCGCATTTCTTTTCAACCTTCTCTGAACCGCTCAGGTGACGCGACGGTCAAACACAGACGTCAGATTTCACGGTACAAAAGGGAGATATTAAGGACAAGAGGAGGTGAGACAGCTGTCTGCTCAGCTGTGCATGAGATGATGAACATTGGGAAGCTTTTATCTGAGTGCTTTTCTCAAGATTCACTTTACACAAGGATGAGCAGTGAACAAGTCTGATACTATGTAAAAGGTTTTGGGGCTTTTCAAAATCACACAATCTTTCTTGGCAGTTCACAAACCAACCAATGGGAAGCGGCTGTGCCATTTTCTCACATCCCATTTAGTTAGCCGTGGCATCTGGTGCGCACGTACCACTGTGTCACTGCACAGAAACGGAACGCAACAAATCCTGAAAGAACTTTGCAGAATTGCAGATTGCAGTAATGACGCAAAATACAGTCAGCATATCAGAAATGTTTCAAATCCAGCACATTTTCCTGCTTCAAATATGTAAAATTTCAAATTATACAATAATTTCCTGAAATGTCTTTAGCATGGTCCCACTTAAACAACACACAAACTCCCTCATGCATGTGCACACCCTCACACTGGCTGGATCAATGCATTATGCCATGTGGGAGCTGTGTATGATGGGTAGCCAGCAGGGGGATGGGTCAATGTGCTGCTCGCTTTCTGTTTTTTTTTTTTTCTGTGTATTCTTGTACTCTCACAAGCACTGGGAGCAGCAGGAGCGTACTGTTGCTGCAGCGCATGAGAGAATCTCCATCTAACTTGGGTATCAGAGAAGCAGTCGTCGGTCGGTCTTCTCCGTTTGAGCCGTGAGCTTGGTACGTTTTCAGATGCTGCGCGGCTTCAGTGTCTCTGATCTTCAGTCAATCAACTACAAACAAAGAGGTGCCCTGAAGAAGAACAGAAGTGGCTTCACTCTCTGGATGAGGTAATGTGCATTTATTTTATTTGGTTTAAAATGACCATATGTTGGTATTCTGCCTTTCTTGACTAGTATACCAACTATAATTTAAAAATCTTTTGAAAACCAACAATATGATGAGAAAGTTTCTAAGAAAACAATTGTCAATGTCAATACTTGCTAAAAATACTTTTGTTTTGGCTTGTTTGAGCGTTGTTGTTTTTGATGCGTTTCAATTTCAGAGGGAACACATCCGCACTAAGTCAGACACGTAATTATTTGATTCACGGTAGCTTCTCATATGGGACAATGCCGTGATGTGCAGTGAGGGGAAGTGAGAGGTGATTGAAGGTTCCTACTGACGTGCACGGCTCCACTGAGCACAGCAAGAGCTGACACCCGATGTCCATGCAGGTCTTTTTTTTTTTCTACGACATCAAGTCAAAATTTCAGGAATAACAACATGGGTTTCTCGTGGACATGTTGTGAGTCAGATTCCCCTGATGGTGGATTAGGCATCGTATCATCACTCGGCTTTGCGAGCCAACAGCAGGCATTTGACAGATGTTTTAAGGCATCGTCTGTGGCAGAGAGCACAGTGCTGCACCGGCACCTGACCCCCTTTTATAATGCAGATCAGCCGCACACAGGAAGCGGGAAGGTTAATAAACACTGCTGACGGCTGCGTGACTCACTCTTGATTCCATCACATTAACGAAGCCTAGGAATCGTCACATAATCACAGCAGCAGCTGAGCGGTGGTCACATGGAAGTGCAAATCCATACGGGCATGTTCATTATCAGGAATGGCTCGCCTTAATCATCATATTGATGTATGTTTCTCCATCATTGTGGGCCTTTCCACAGATTAAAGACAGTTAAGTCTTGCCTGTCACACCGCCATCCGCCAAGTTCGCATGTTAGTTATTGCTTAAAAGTACCTCTTACGTAAAAAAAGCCTTTTGTGGCTAAAAATGACCTCATAAAAACGGTCAACGTCCATCAGTTCAATAATTGTGAGTGAGGATCTCTTCAACTCTTATTAGCCACCCGGTTTTAGTTTGCACGGGTTGTTAATTGAAATGGACATACTGTCCTAATCCTTGAAGTTCTGATACAAGTCGTTCATTCCAAAAACTAGAACTCCTGCTCGTATGCTTCCACATATCATCCATTTTGTTGGACATCAAACGGACATGATGGGTTGAACGGATGGAGGCAGACCCATAAAACTCAGGTTTGCAACAAACATCTCGTCCAATATGCTAAATCTTAATGATTGTGAAACCGTTTGCTTTTGCATGAACCTCATTTCTGGTCTTTAATCAAAATCCACGTTACAAAGACTTCCGTGAAAAGGAATCACACAATCAAGTAATAACTCGCTAACAACTTATCCAAATAAAATGAGGCGGACTCAAAATATGTTTTATCCTTTTTTTTCATCTCCATCGTTAAGTATTCTTCCCCAGAAAAAATATGAGTACACCTGGTTTACACAATCTCACTATTTTAGGGTTTGCCGTATCTGTTTTGGTGCATTGTTCATACATCAGGCCCCTGGTGTGCAGCTTACCACCCGCACAGCAGAGGCACGCCGTTAGAAGGCCAAAAAGTGCTCCAGTGTCCAGTTTGCAGGCTAATTGGCCCTATTCAACATCAAAAATAAACCAAGTTCAGTGATGAGTTTTAAAACAGTGAGCAGGGAGGAAATGTGTGGATTTCCTCAGATTTGCTTCTGGAAAACCGTGGGTGTGTTCAAATTGTGACTACTGAATTTGTCCTCTGCTAAAGCATAAAAACACCAGATAAAATATCAACAATGGAACAAAAGGGATGGAACAAATTTAAAAACTGAAGGATCTGCATGAACTATTTTAAACACAAAGTTAATATTTAAACCAGAACAAAGAAAGTTAAACTAATTCACAGGACCTCGAGCCAAACTTGTCTTGACATCTATGGACAAAGACAGCCGCCCCCCAGAGATTCTACTTGCTTATCATGATACATGCTCTGACGCAAGGCCGGACAGACGGGATCAGGATCGGATGAAAGTCACCGGGACTCGTCGTGCATGAAGAAAACCCTCTGACGCCGACATCCGTGTGTGTGTGTCTGCGTGTGCTTGTCGTCACAGAGATGGATGCGGACCACGGATTCTATCGGCAGGTGGACGTCCAGGCCCACGCTCACTACATCGTCGCCTTCTTTGTCTTGGTGATTGGAACAGTGGGCGTTACTGGAAACGCTTTAGTCATGTACGCCTTCTTCTGGTAAGTGAACTGATGACATCGATGACTGAGGATGTCATTCACGTCCCATTGAAGAGTGCCATTATGTAACTGGTTATGTGTTACCCTCCCTTTCTATAGAAAAGTACCTATCCAGGAAAGCATTTAATCAAAACAAACTTCTAGTTGAACAGAAAACAAGTGTTCTGCTTTTTAGGAATGCTCATCATTTTAATTTTGCACACTGCAAAGTGCCTCACGTCCTCATTTGCTAATCCACAAACAAGTCTGGAAGAAAGATAAAAATAATTAAAGTCAGCTGTGTTTTTTTGTAAGAGCCTTTCATTGTTAACACTTAAGCCATGATTGTTTTATTATTGCTCTATAATTTAGATTTTTTGCAATCCCTTTTTTTTCGTCCATGTCCCCCACAATATTAATCACATTTAGATTTGGGCTACAAAGTACTTCTAAGCAGATGAGACAACTGGAAGACAACAACACATAAACAGAAAGTAAACCATCATGAGGCATCGTGCATTTGGTTCGATCTGTGGAGAAAATTTCACTTAAGTCAAAAATACTGTTGAAAAATAACCTTTAACCGTCGTGTTCAAGAAGATGGCTAAAGTACCATGCTCTTGTGAAAGCTGTAAGTGTGGCTCATCAGGAAAACAAAAAGACCTGTGACGTTAACAAAGATTACCATCAATAAAGTGTCACAAATGCGTTGCCTTGAAACATATCCAAGCTTAATTAAAAATAACTGATCAGTAATGTGTGTAATAAAACAACAACTTCCATGAAGTGACCTAGACTAGACGCCTGAATACTGGTGTGTGACTGCTAAATGTCCCAGAGGACTCCATATTCCCTGCAGAATGAAAACAGTTAAATCCACTCACATGGCATGACGTGCGTACACAAGCCCGCAGCCTTTCAGTAGCAGGAAGCAGCTCTGGGATTTTTTTTTTTTAAACTGTACTGGATAAATCAATGCATGCATTCAATAATTCACTTAGCTTCTCCTTTATTTACATAGAGCCAACACTCTGCTATAGTCTCACTTAAACCACACGCAGGGCAATCAGGCTTAAATGACAGTACTGCAACTCAGAGTAATCCAATCCATTACTGCACACCCACTGTGGGTCCTTCTCTCGGTTAACATCCCTCCATGTCTCTCTCTTGTTTTGACTTCCAGTGACATGCATGATGATACAGCTATTAAATATCTTCCTTTACTCTATATTTTCCTGCCAAATATCCAGCCCATGAGCACAGCTGCCTTACTCTAGTGGGCTGATGTTGAGTCTAACTGACTTTTTGAAGGACACTTTGCATATACAGGTCGAACCGCCAGCTAATGGCAGAACTACTTTTTGCACTTTAACACACAATTAAACCCCCCAAAATATGTGATTTCTATACCTAAATATAGGGAAAATGATTTCACAATGTGTATGTTAAATGCTGTACACCTATATACTCTCTGGCTCCTGCTGGGAATACAGTGTTCCACTGGCTGCAGGGCCTTCTCGGGTCAAAGTGTTGGGTAGAATCCCTAGTCTGACATGTTTTTTGCATTAAAATCTAACCTCTAGTGACCCACATCTTCATCAAATGTCACATCACTCGATCTCCAGTCAGTAACACCTCAGTATAGACGCACTCACCTGCATGTGAACATGTGGACTATTTACTCATTTCGGTGTTTTTCCAGTCAGTGGGCCAAACAAGGAGGACAATGAAAAAGCTTTAGACGCTGAATGGAATTGGTGTAACTGTTAAAGCAGATTTTAGGTCACGGAGCCACATAAACAACATCCAGGGTTCAGATTTCCAGAACAAGGGACCGTCTTGCCTCATTGTTTACAATTCAATTGTAACCCACCATCTGTGTCCCATACTTCCCGTTCCTTTTTTATTCCATCGTAAAAAATTACAAGACAGTGCCGTGCTCACAGCCTGCCACTATTTCAGGGGCTTGTTTTGATGTAACGAAGCTGTCAGCCATGATTGACAGACTATCGCCAAAAAGCAATCTTGGCTGAGTGTGTGTGTGTGTGTGCAATGAGCTATGTTATGCTAATCAAGTTCCTCATACTTTGTGGAGGTTGAACGTTTGTTGTGTAGATGTGGACATGATTATTGTTGTCTTAAGACATGTTTACTTTTGGCTTCTTGTTAACGGATGACTGACCCAGTAAGAGCTAATTTCACACGAGGAATGGATTTAATGCGAATCTGTTTCAGCCTCATTACGCTCCCTTTGTTCCCCCCTCGGGGCAACAGAATAGAAGTGTTACTCAGACAGAACTGATTTTATGAGTTTTGAAGGAAAGATACAAGTTGTTCCTATTGAGGGTGCATGTGTGTATAACATTCATGTACCACTTTCACCCTGAAGTGGTTCTCATGCTTTGCTTCGATTTGAAAAGACATTAAAGGGCTGCTTTGTTTTGTATAGCTGCAGTGTTCTGACTAATTATACAAATTACCGAAGATCCTTATTTTTGTTATTATTATTATTATTATTATTATTATACACATGTGAGGCAGGGGTTAGCTGTTCTGCACACTTTAGTGGGGATTTAGTGAGGTTTGCAGGCGTAAATGGGTCCGAGAACCCGGTTTTCCATGAGGTGACATTCCGATTGAAAGCTTACTCATAATCTTATTTTTATAGTGTGTACGCTTTGACTCTTTTCTTTGCAGCTGCCCACAAATAGAATTTTTCCGTCGCTGTTGTTGACTGACGACAACTGTTTTGCCTGCCACACAGACTCATCAGGGGAGTCATCGTATTGGAGTATTTACTTTTTGTCCCTCCATTTTACTGGGACAGCTTTAGTTTGTTTGCTTATAATGTTGGGATCTTGGGAATCTTCATCTGTCTGAAGTGCTTAGAAGATGAAGTATGATTGATAGGCAGCATCATGCATGTGTTGTGTTTACTGAATTCCACCCTCCTGCCTTTGTTATGTTATGGGAATTGATTTGGGAAAGATGAGGATTTATTAAGTTATTAAATGGATTTTGAATTGGCCATGGTGTGAATCTCTGGGTGTCAACGACAACAACAGCATCATGTTGTTTTGTGGTGTATTGAAATGAATTCCAGACTTTCCAATCCCCTGTGTTTCAGCAACAAGAAGCTACGCACTCCCCCCAACCTTTTCATCATGAACCTGGCCGTCAGTGACTTCCTCATGGCAATCACCCAGTCGCCCATCTTCTTTGTTAACTCTCTTTACAAAGGCTGGATTTTTGGTGAAACAGGTATTTTTTTTTAACATTCATATGACCCACCTAAATTCAAAACGTACAAACACCCGAATGAACCGTCTCCGTCCCTCTTTCTCTCCGCAGGCTGTAAAATATATGCCTTCTGTGGAGCTCTGTTTGGAATCACCTCCATGATAAACCTTCTGGCCATCTCTCTAGACCGCTACATTGTCATTACCAAGCCCCTGCAGGCCATCCAGTGGACCTCCAGGAGACGCACATGCCTCAGCATTGCCTTGGTCTGGCTGTACTCTCTGGCCTGGAGCCTCGCCCCCCTTTTGGGGTGGAGTAAGTCACTTAATCAGTCGGCCTACCGTTTTTATTCAACTACCCTCTGTTTATGCCTCTGACCTTACACTTACACGACTTTATCCCTCTTTTTCACTTTTTTTTTTACCTCAAGGTTCGTACATACCAGAGGGCTTGATGACCTCATGCACATGGGACTATGTGACATCTACTCCTGCCAATAAAAGTTATACTTTGATGCTATGCTGCTTTGTATTCTTCATCCCTCTGGGCATTATATCCTATTGTTATCTGTGCATGTTCCTGGCAATCCGCCAGGCAAGCAGGTGAATGAATTATAGGTGAATATGCAGCACTTTACTGCACTAAACACATTCAAATAACTGGAAATGCTGCTATTTAGCAAGTCCACTTAATAACTGTATGAAACTGAATATCGCGCCATTGCAGCGCAGTCTGTAGCTTCTCTCTGCAGTCACATCTTCACATCAACAAGCCACTGACATGTCTTTCAGAGTAGGCTTGACGTTGCTGCGATGCAATTTCTGAAATATTATCACATGCATGTTCCATACATTGTAATGTTGGCATTCGTCTCCTTTGTTTTTCCCTTTAATAATAATGTATCTGTGTGCATGTGTGTATATTTGTCTGTTTTTCAGATCCTGCCATTTCATGCCTGTCCATCAGTATCCCTTCCATACACATTAGCCAGTTCAGCCCTCAGCAAGTGAAGCCTTTTCCCGTTTCAGGGGTATCAAGACTTTTCTGAGGGACAAAACCAAAATGACATGTGGATATAGCTTCTAGTGTTTCCCTTGAGGTTAAAGGAATGTCTATCTGTAAGGCTAGCGCCGATATCTTGGGATGATGCTATGATTTTGGCTGAAGTGGAGGTATAAGTTTCACCCACAAGACAGTATTTCTACTGTGAAGCTTACAACTCTGTACGCTGTGTCCCGCAAAGGAGATGGAGTGACTCCAAGCAACCTCTTGCCTGTTACTCTTTCCCCGCTCCGTGTCCAGTTTCGTAACGTCAGCGTGTCTTATTTCATATTTTATATATATTGTTCATATTTTATATTCCGTACTTCAAGTTGAGATCTGGAAATTGCTAAAGTTTACCATCTTTTAACTGCATTCCGATCATCTTAATAGGAGTGAGAAAAATATCCAAGTGAGCAAATAGGAAGAATCGTATGTATCCTCTTGTTTGTTGCCTTCCTGCCCTGTTTGTTGTCTATTTGCTTGGCCGTCCACAGTCATGCATACATACAAAATACCAAAAACGATCTTGACGCAAACACTTTACACTTTATGTTTTTATTTTTATGAATTCATCCTCTGAATGAACATGTACATTGACTGCAACATTCCTTTATGGCTTCTCTCTGTCCATTGTTCCTTCCACAGAGATGTGGAGAAGTTGGGGTACCAGGTGAGGAAGTCAACCCTGATCCAGCAGCAGTCCATCAAGACTGAATGGAAGCTGGCCAAGATCGCCTTTGTGGTCATCATAGTGTTTGTGCTTTCTTGGTCGCCCTATGCATGTGTCACCCTCATCGCCTGGGCTGGGTAAATATACAGCATGACAAGAGCTTATTATAACCCAAAGGTTCTGTTCTAATAGTCCGACGGCATTTGTTATTTAGAGACAGTTAGATTCAGGCATAAAACAAATTATGCTCGGTTGCACTGTGTATTTCATTTCAGCCATGAACCATGAGCCATATTGCACCTTGTGCGGAATATCACTGTATCAAGTGCTATGCAACGGGGTCAAACTACAGTACCTGTTTAATTACAGGCAACGCACAGTTTTATCTTTACGAACATTTTACAACTTTCAGATATGCAAGCATCCTCAGTCCCTATTCCAAAGCTGTCCCCGCTGTTATAGCCAAGGCGTCGGCCATCTACAACCCTTTTATCTACGCCATCATTCACTCGAAGTACAGGTGAGTCCAGTCATCCAACCGGTGTGTAACACAACCTTGAAAAAGGGGAATGGAAGCTTTTGCTGAAGGGGGACCATCATTCCTCAACAGAGACACCATGGCAGAACACGTCCCCTGCCTGCACTTCCTGGCCCAGGCCCCGAGGAGGAAGTGCATATCCATGTCCCACAGCGAGTCGTCCCTCAGGGACCTGATGCTGAGCAGGCAGTCGTCGGTTTCCAAAACCAAGTTTCACAGAGTTTCCTCCATGTCCACGACAGACACGGTGAGTTTGGCTTCAGCACAAAAGGGTTGGAGAGCAGAAGCAAACGCAGGTCTTACTGAGTGACCAGGTTCACGTTATCAACCTCAGCATCACCACCTGCCTCACACGCGTTAACGCGCATGTCCCTTGTAGCAGGTTTGGAGTGACGTGGAGCTGGACCCAATGGATCAGAGCCATGGCGTGAGGTCCAGCCATTCCCTCGGTGCCCTGCGGGACAGAGAGTCGCTGGCTATGCAGACCAAGGAAAAGGGAAGCCAAAGCCAAGAACAGGTCGGGGCAGATGCTCATTACACCTATTTACATTGTAGCCACAGTAATGCATTCATCAAAGGTGATGTCACATCGTCAACCGCTTCGGATCTAGATCCGCATCCCAGAGCGAGGCCCGTCGAACGGGAGCGCGAACGCAGCGGGCCCCCGGGGGGGGAGAACTGTGGAGAGCCTCGAGAGTCGGGACAGAGAGGAGGCGGGTGGAGGTGAACACGCGCGGAGGGACACGCGGCAGGCCCGGCGGGAGAAAGACGACGAGGAGGTGGAGGAGGTGGTGGTGGTGGAGGAGGAGGAGGAGGAGCCGCGGGTCGTCGCGGCCCGGCCGGACTCTGCGGGGCGCGCGGGGCGCGTGCACCACGCGGCCATCGTCGCGCCGGACTCGAGGAAGGAACCGCTGGAGCTCAGCTGTTGTGAGGAGAGACAAAGCGCACGGAGCAGGCAGATGGGACTGTCCCCGGATCTACAGACTCTGGAGGGTTCCGCTCAAGAGCTCGAGCCCGTGAGGAGATTTCTTAGCTAAATGTTACGCGTGACTGTGGCACAATCGGTGAAACGTGTGTGTGTGTGTGTGTGTGTGTGTGTGTGTGTGTGTGTGTGTGTGTTTTTGTTCTTTCGGGAATGAGGTGTCGTGGCGGCGGACACAACTTTGTGTAGCAATGCAGTGCAAGCAAATTTATTTGTTTGTAGGTTTTGGTGTAATTGTACACACAAGTTTTTTAAATAATAATCTTGAGGCACAACTTTACTTTTTAAGCTTGCTGTTAACATACAAAATAATTCCATCTTTTTTTTGTTGAAAACAGGTGTTTGGTATTTTCAATAATGTCACAGTGAAAACAAAGCAGTATCTTGCAAATGGAATCTAAATTCACTTTTTAGAACTTGCACTTTGTCAAAGAGCGTTTAACTGTATACTGAGAGTAACTAATTAAAGACCCAACAAGTTTATGATCAACTTGTTTCTGAGGGACCAAAGTTTGGCTCTTTCCCGAGTGTATTTTGTGTGGAAGTAGATTTTTATACACTGTTTTCTTTGTTGCTACAGCTACATATCTCTGTCTTACAAATGCCATGTCTTTAATGCACACATGTCTCTGTTCATGAGCCGTATCATGAGTTCAGGCACCATAGTTATAAAACCCAGCGTTTTATTCACCGCATCTACTTTGGGGACAATGTAATATATTTGATTCAAAGCATCCGTTGATCCGTTGCGATGAGGAATAAAGCTGCATGCTTTAAGGAAAAGTATTGTCACAGCAGCAATCAATTTTCCATCCTTAACTATTGCATATTCGTTGCGCTTGGTGCTAATCTTAAACTAGAATGTTCAATCTTGTGTGTATTTGTTGGAAATAAGCCTTTTAAAGCCCCCCCCCCCCTTCCCACCCCCCCATCTTCTTAGAGCTTGTAAATGAATCAGAATTTGTTATAAATGTTATGAAACAATTTCATCAACAGGCAACGTGCTTTCTTTCACTTTATTTTAAATGGTGTAATATACAACATGAAAGAAATGTCTTTATAACTTGTTGCAGCAATAAAATAAAGACTGTATTATTTAATACACTGTTATCATAGTACCCATAATGTTATTATGAAGCTTTATCGACAACCAATACATAATAAACCTTTATATACAATGTCATGCATCCACATGAACATTTAGATTGAGTCCATGCAAAATGTTTTAACAATGCAAAATAGCACATGCGTTATTGCAATGGCCTTCCAGACGAAAAGTATGCACGTAAAAATATTTTGTCACTATTCACAGAAGTGCAGATGGAGGAGGCAGATGGAGGTGGATCTATTTCCCTCTCTTTTTTGCAACCCACCTAATCCCGTTATTGTACTCTTTGTTTGCACAGCAGTAGCGAGCGTAAACACTGATAAAGAGCCGAGGCAAAGAGGAGGGGAATGACATGAACAGATGTCTCGTGCTGGATACAAAACCAGGACACAGTGCATCGGACCATCGGAGACACCAGGATGACAGAAGTCCATAAATATGGTGGATCTGTAAAATGTATCACACTATCAGCAGGAGATTGCTGTTCTACATTCTACATCCCTTTTCATTTTTACCAGCTGTCCATGTAATTACATGGTAGAGTTACCACAAAGGATGAGGCAATTTATCTATAGTGACACTTAAAGTGTGTTTTTCTTTGGAAATCAAACACCCAGAAAGCCCCCCGGTTGACGCGTCTTTGAACTATAATTCCAAGATTTCCTGAATGGTTTGCTTATCCAATTCTGTAAAGATGATTCGAAGGTATGCACAGTGAACCTTGCATAAAGGACTGGTGCACTTCAGTGGTTCAATCGCTTTGCACAGGGGGATTTTGCTGCTGGGCTTCCCATTAGTCTATAACCATATATTGACACGGCACACATGTGGCTGAAAGAAAGCCCAGCTGACCTATGCAGCAGAATGCAAACAAATCTTTGTAGCTTCACTGAGTAAATGGTTATCTGTCAAATGCATCATGCCTTTTTAGTATGTGCGAAAAATCAATTTATATCTATTATTTATTCAACAAAACAGCGCGAAAATAAAAGAAGGAAAAACATTTGAGAGATGGAATAGCCGCTAATGGAATTCAAACAAATCAGAATATGTCAGAATATATTATATCATTTATAATAAGTAATAATTAGTAACAGATGAATTTTTTTTTGTCATTAGCCCTTGGAATGCTAAAATAGTGTTTAACTACCTTGATTAATACTGTACCTTTTGACATTCCTATCCTGAAACTGTGGATAATGGTATAATCCAACTCTCAGGCTTTAGTCAACCAAAAAAGTATGTGGCGTTTTACCTTTGTGAAAGACATCCAGATATGTTTTCTAACCGTAATCTACCTGTGTTTGCTTGATATTATTATGTACTCAAACCTATTGGCTGTATGGGAGTGCTAGAGGAAAGTAATATCAAATAGTCTTTGTATAATTTGTAATCTATTTTAGGTGAGGCACGATAAAACCCCAGTGAAGATAAAGCAAACACTTAGGTGATCAGTAAAATAAAGTAAAAGATAAAATTGAAGCCAGGAATGAAGACAAATCTGGCACCAGAAGGACCATATCTTGTATTATTTTACTTTAAAATATTTAAAGGCCAGACAGATATCACCATTTTCATTCACAGATGTTTTATTTTATTTCCATTGGGTTGACTTGGTTTCATAAAAAACTCCCCTCAGGCTAGAAGTCATGCGTTGGTAGAAGAGAAAAAGATGAGTGACACATGTTTAGGTATGAGCTGGCAGAGGAGGGAGGGATTAGTAACAGTAGACACATTTTACCCTCAGGCCGGTTTTAAATCCACAGAATTTGAGCAAACTGCGGAGCACGTAGTACCTCTGCTGACCGCTAGAGAGCAGACAGACACCGGGACAAAAACATCTGGGGACGGATCATATTAGCAGAATGGAAAACCAATAAAAAAATGACAATGATGCGCCAAACAACGTCACAAAAAGTTGCACTAAGAATAATAGCACACAAAATGCAAAGCGAAAGAAGAAAGTGAAAAATGACAAGATAAGATGGAGAAGCAATCCAGTCGATTTGATCCATTTGGTTCAACATGGAAAATCTCTGGATTTATTTGGCTATCTTGTTTCATAAAACACAGTCTTTGTTCAAATAAGGAGAAATAAGTCTTTCAAGTACTCAAATAATCCCAAAAGGAAATTACACTGTCTCAGTATCCAAGTCAACGAGAACTATCAAATAAAAGTAATGACGACAAAATCTCAAAACTGGATACTGGATTAAACTGTAGTATAGCACAATAAATAAAAAACAGAAAAACAGGTTTAGCTCCTAGATTATAGTGTAATTTAACCCGATTGAGGAGATTACATTTCTCTTTTTAAGATTCCAAATGGGCGGGTATCGTTGTCCTCTTCACAGAAACCACAACAGAAGGACGCTGCTGAGACTCACCTGTCCGGTCCCCGGTCGGGCAGGTCCACGCCTGCCGCCCTGCTGCTGCCTTCATGACAATCGACCACCACACACACACACACACACACGCACACGCACACACATGAGCGCGCACGCGGGCGCACGCACGCTCACACAAGCCCACGCGCGCGCACGCGGCTGTGAGCCCGCCCACCGGCGCCAGATGGGCTGGCTTATATGCGGAAGTTCCAGTTCCGTTCTGTCCAGTTGACTTCGAGGCTGAGAAGAGACGGACTAAAGTCACGCTTCTCTCTGCGCAGCGGACCCGGCTTCACCACACAAGGTGAGATCCTCTGACAACAGCTCTTTCAAAAAAATAATAATAATAGTAATAATAACCCGACAGGTTGAGTCTCCATTTCTATTTGCACGCCACATGTGCCCGTTACTTGAGTTGCAATTTAAAAGACCATAGAAACATGAAGCAATAAATTCCAAAACCGATTTTTTTTCAATAACAACAAACAACAGTGGGGGCGTTTTTTTAATACTGCCCCACTGTGAAACGTTTTTTTTTTACTGACAACCAATAAACTAATAATGTTATATAATATTTTATTTCCTATCGCCTTGAATTGCACACGGAGGTAAAACATTTGAGTGAATAAAACGTAGATATTGAATGGAAGAAGGGGTCACCTTCTAGCATAAGAACCCAGAAGAACAAACAAAAAGTGTCCCATAAAGTCAAGCTGACCTGCCAAAGACATTTAAAACATTTTATTTTAAGATCTCCACTCTAGTCCAGCAACACGTCTACACATACTGTCATTTATTCATATGGAATATTCTTTGGACACGTGACAGACGTCTTTTGACAGAACACCACTGAGGTAAGGTGGGCCCACGCTCTGTGAGTCAACATGTCCTGTGATGATGTCACCAGCCAACATTGTCTCATGCAGCGTTGTGAAATGAGCATGACTCTTCACAGACACCTCCAGATATAACCGAAGGTTACCTGAAGGAAACCAAACTGCATTATGACACATGCAGTGCAAAGGGCATGAGGGCTATTAGATTAACATTCAACCCTGTTGATCCCTTTTTTTCAATTAAGAAAGCTTGTTATTATTTGAATCACTTTGCTTTGCTTATTCAATTGTGACTAGGAAGATTCCCTGAAAATCACGTTCCTATTGGTAAATTCAACATCTTAAATTCAGGGTGGCACTATTTGGGATAAACTGTCTGCTAGTTCAATCAAGCAAGTTAAAATAAGATCCACAAAAATGTCTCACGTTAGAACAGGACTACGCCTTAACTTCCAAAAGGGTTGAAGTGATTTACTGATTAAATCCCTCGTCTGGAGCTCGTTTTCCTCAGTTCGGGAACACTGAGAGGTGTGTCGGCTCATGTCTACGCATGATATCTTTTTACGGGATTGCAAAACAAGTAAGGGCATGAGACCTAATATTTGTTCTTTCCATATTAGGAAAAAGCAATGTGGGTTTTACTTGAGCCTGATCCACATTTCACAATCATCATTTATGTCCTATGAAATCTGATACTGACCGAGCTGTTCAATCCTGCGTATTCCTCGGCGCTTGTTTTAGACGATGGGAGCGCGTCGTCAGCCAAGACTTTTGGCTCAAAGCTTTTTGGAAACCACTTCCAGTACTTATGTCCGTTGTGTTTTGTTTCCCCTCAGAAAAACCACTCGGTGTAGACTGATGACCTTGTAAACAACTCTCCCTTTTTTTATTTATTGAGACTGAGACATCAGTTGCTTTCGTTTTTAAAGCGTTCCCAGGAAAACATTATAAATATGCCTTCTTTATGACTTTTTCAGTTTTGCATTTCAAATGTTCACGGTGGTGATAAATGGGCGATCACCGGTGGCTCCACTGGTGGCTTCTTTTGGAGAACCAAGCCCCCCTGTAATGGGGAAATGCTGAGCAGGCCGACCCTGCAGATTGACGTGTGCGTCACAGTTTACCAGGTGACGAGTTTGTCATGGTGGAATGACCTACAACCACAAAATGACATTCCTCAGAGATGACAAGGCATTGCTATTACTAATAAAATGATCAGGAAAGTATGTTGTCACTGCACTGTCCGTCACAAGAGTGTGTGAGTGTATCTTCCATGTGATTGCTTAATTGATTGTACTGTAATCCTCTTTACCAGAGCCAGAAATATACGGCTCTTTAGTTCAGCCCCAAATTGAACCTCTCGGCAGACCGGCAGCTCAACAGAAACACCTTTAGTTCATTACATCAGACCTCTGAGTCCCAGGCTCTCAGTTTCTCTCTAAGGTGCACGCTGATAACAACTAACAAAGAACCCGTCTGTTCAGAGTTAGACTCAACTTTTACTTCCACATCACCCCCCCTTCCCCCCTCTTTGTCCCCATAATTGCAGTGCACTGTACGTGACATATGATGAATGCGGGTTTGCCTTTCATGTCATGTTTTCATGTCAACATTCCCCCGTCCTGTTGGGCAGGGGAAAGGAGATATATTTCAACATGATGGGTGTTCATTCTAAACGTGAGCACAGACAGACTCACTTACAGCCGCTAACACCAGATTAAAGTCTTCTGCAAATACGGTATATCAATTTCCTCTGTTTTTGAGCTGATGCATTTAATATTGAACTAAATCATAACATGTGACTGTAGCCAGCAGCTTCACATTTCAAAGAAAAAGGAATGCACGGCAGTTGGGGCTTAAACCGGTGAAACTCAATAGTGCATGAAATATTGCACCAAATAAATAAACTTTGTTTGCTGGAACCGTCCTTCTTGATTTGAATGCAAGCACGTACAATGAGGATATGGCATTTGTATCCACGGATGAGGATGCATTTACTCGTCAGGATGTGGAAATTAAAAGCGAATGAAAGGTTGAGTTGGCAGCTGAGCTCTATCAAGTCCTCGCAGGGCGTGTCCGGCCTCTGCTCTGACCTCATGTAGGCCCGAGGAAAGGCCGACACGTCCTCTGTCAGGGATTAATGGGGGATTTACCAGGACTTGAGTCCGTAAAAGGTATTTATTACAATTATTTTCCTAATCTCATAATTGTGATATCGCAGGAATTGGTAATTAAGGCACAGGACTCTTCATTACACCACGCTTCTCAGTTGAAAACCAAAGACCTAAATTAAAAAGCGTTATGTACAATACAGATATTTTTTTATGTAGTAGTTGTCAGTCTGGGTACATTTTTTTTTCATTTTATTTTTCGAAAGCAGTGGATTCAGTGACAGACATTGAGATCAAAGGTCCGAAGTGCTGATCTGATTCTGTTGAGGTAAACAAAGGATTGTCCTTCCGTGATAAATATCCCCGACGTTTCCTTCTCTCATCAACAGCATTCAATGCTTAGTTACTCTCAGTAGTTTTTTAAAAGTCAAATGTTTGCTGATCATTATTGTCCCCCAAGTGGTTACGCGCCTGTAAAATATCTCGTCCCTCTGTCTCTCAGGTAAAATCATGAGCAGCAGCTACGGTGTCTCCCTCGCTGGCCCCGCCCCCTGGGGCTTCAGACTGCAAGGCGGGAAGGACTTCTGCATGCCCCTCACCATCTCACGGGTGAGTGCCACACGTACGCCCGACACCTCCGACAGATTTAGACACCTTTTTGTGACCGCTCATGTCCCCCGTCACTCAACGACCCCGTCTCGTTCACGACCTACTGCCCGTCAAAGCTGCGACTAATTGTGTAATAGTGTTACGTGACCGTAATATCCGTCAATTTTTTTTTTAAAGCTCGCTTGAATTCCTCTGACGGTCATTCGGGTTGCGCGCGCTGAGGATTAAGTTGATGGCTGTTAACGGGCGCTGTCGTGTTGGTCTTTCCGATGAGGGGAGGTGTTGAGAGTCCTGGCCGCTGTCCCCGGTGTTAGTCCTGATGGGGAAACACAGGAAACCTCTGGATACTGGAATAGATCACAACCTCTCCCCGAACTGCCAGAGTGGTTCTACACAAGCTAAATGAACATTGAGCCACATAAACTGGGATTAAGTGGTTAAAGGGCCTGTTAAATCCTCAAAAGTGAGATGAACCGCTGGATCGAAGGGCCCACTTATTGAGGGAAAAGGTCCTTTTTATGACGGTTCAGCCGGGCTAAAGGACCTTCTGTGCAAAAACACTCTGATTGTCTCTTGTGTGGTTCACTATTAACCCGTCGAGTCTTTTTCAACGGCGTCTGAATCGTCCCGATAATACTAACATATAGGATTAAAAGAAGACGGCGTGTCCTCTTCAAGCACAGTCTGTACTTTCACGAGAACTCTTGCTGCCGCAGAAGGAACGGTGTCGCTCAGTTGCTGCCGCTTCCTGTTTTGTAATTGTTATCTGCATGTCATGACCGGGCTCAGTGCCTCTCGTTTGTTTGTTGTTGCCAGGATCAGTTACAGAAGTTTGAAGGTTTTGTATGAAAAGGAGTAGAAACTTCTCTCAGGAGTAGTAAAAGGACTATTTTTACACCTTGCTTGAAGACGATAATAATAATAATGATAATGATAATGGAGTGAAGGACATTGTGTTTTCATAGTAGCATGTAAGTGTTCATAGACACCTTTCAATGTGTCATAAAACACAGCAAATGACGCACCTTGATACTTGTCAACTGTTTAATTGTGTGAGAATGTTTCATCTATAAGAACACTTGTATATAAATAGATTTGTACTATTTCCGTTGAGGAGAAAGAAAATTGGCATCAAATTGGCCATTTTGCTGCTGTTCCCCTCTCAGTTTTGGCATCTGCTGTTAAAAATACAAATGACCCACATCTGCTTCAACTTCCCTCTGCTTTTAACAGCTCATTGTAGTTTCACTGAGAGTTCTTAATGGTCTGCAAGTACAGGAGGGCACTGACCCAAATGTCACACGGCACTTTTACTATTTGGACTTGAGTATGTACTCATTTTCTGTAGGTCTGTGCCAACATGTCATATTTTTCTAATTTATAATAAAAAAAGGACACGTGGTTTGTTTCTTCCAGAAGCCTGGAATCCGTTAACATCACCAGTGCGTCCGATGCGGTAGTTTGGATTATTACTTAGTCTGGAGCACGTCTCCGGACCGCTGAGCAAAACAACATCACTCTCACAACTTTCCACTCCATCTTGTTGTTGTTTTCTTGTGTCATTCCCGGGACATATTTCCTTCACCAGCGCGTGAGCAATGTGAATGGCACCTTAAATGGCTCTGATTTCTTCTGGTTGTCGTCCAGGCGCCAGGAATAAGTCTCCCTTTTGTCTGTTTATCTTGCAACTACTAATGTCGCGCAGGCCACAGCCAGATGAACGCATCCTGGACATGTGCTCTTTGTAGTAACGCTAAAGAATGTATCCATTTTTGCAAATATTTTCCTTTTAAAATTGGTAGATTTTATCTGAGTTCAAGGGGTTGACATCATTTACAAAGGGAGGAATAAGTGAGTAAAAAGGAAACATCTGCCAATAGTTTCATTCATTCGCTGAGCGTCGAGTGTAATGGTGAAGATCATCGGCTTATTTTAATGTTCATTGGATACCCGCAATGCTAATGAGACTAACTCTGCAGGAAAGAATATTCCTTCACTTTAACGCTCTTATTTATGTATCTTAGATGGATGTGATTTGCTATGGAATAATGATGTAATGACTTAACATCCTGACCATATGAAACTGACACCTAGATTACATAAAGTACACAACATCCACAGCCTGTTGACTTTAAATGCAGATTATTAAATACATTATGTTACATGGGAAAAGCTAAAGAATAACTGGTTAGAAAAGGTCAGCCGGGGGCTCAGCGCAGAGCAATGTCCCCTCTTTTTCTTTTTTCCACTGACGCCTCACTTCCTCCCGCTGGTCTTTTGTGTCTTTTGGATTGTTGTTTTAGTGGCATGCGATACTCAGAGAGCTAATTTTAGCTCTGTGTTTGCTGTAGGCTTCAGGCTTCCAGATTTGATCTGTGTCTAGTACCCCCACGCCCCCCTTATAATGTATTAACATGTTTAGGCTACTTTCACTGTGAAGAGGAATGTGATGAAGTAGTGCATCAGGCAACCAAGATCAACATCAGTGCTTTATTCATTTTAAGAGAAGAGGATAGAACCTCATTGGTGAGCTGGAGAATATTATTATTAATGTCATATATGCTAAGTACATGTAGTAGTAGTAGTTTCTTAATACTCTTGAGAATGTTACGGTGTTATGTTCATGTTTAGCAAGTGATAAAGCGCAACTAGTAGCATTGCCGCATTTAGAGGAAATCTGCCTCCTTTTTTTGTCATTGATTTACAGTTATTTCTGCAGCAAGTTTGTATCCTGTGTAGCTGATTGGATGAAAAATGGTCTCCCAAGAAAGGTCACATACGAGTTCTTGAGACACTCACAATATGCACCTCAACAAATTCTCCCCCAACAGAGACATTTGGTTCAGCTCGGACACAGAACAAGCTGAACCAGGCAGTTAAAAAAACGTCCCGCGGCATTTCAGGAAACCATGGAGAGAGATAACTTGTGGCCTGTGCGGCAGAGCTGTCACTTTGTCTGAATGTTTTATCTGCCTCTTGTGTTAAAGTCTCCGGAGTATTTATTTTCCTTGACATGGAAACTGAAATTCAATATAAACCAAGTTCATCCCATATTTCATAGACCTGTGAGTATTTGCTTGTATCTGAAGTTCGGGTTTGATCCCGGCACGATTTCCCCTGGTGTCTGTCTGGAGTCGCATTGAGGGCATCTGCTTTCAATCTTCCTCATGGCAGAGTTATGAAGAATAACCAAGCTGCCTCTTCATTTTGAATTTGAATCACTCCCACCATTTCCTTTTTCATTTTTGATAAAAAGATATTTTAAGCAACAATCTCACTTTGAGAAGCCCATATGCTGTAAATAAAAAATAAAAAATACTATGGGCCGTTGCACGTGATCCCACTTCGCAATCATCACAATGTTATAAAGATTTAAAGTTAACTTATGCGTAACAACATGCCTCTCCTATGTTATAAGGCACTGCTTTGCACAGCTCTGTGAGTTGCAACCGTTGCATTTAAGTTGTTCACAATTTAGTTGTGCGGTTTGGGCCGAATCCAGAAGAAGCCCAAAATGAAACCCCACACGAGAGTTGAGTGGATCGTGGATGGAGGTGGAAAGCAGCACTTGCACTCGGCTCGCGCCCCAACGGCGACTTAAAGCCTTTTCATATCGTCTGCCCCCGGCAGCGCTCGCCGGCCCGGTTTCTTTCTGATCCGACTAAAGAGCATTCAGTATTCAGCGAGGGCCCGGTGCTTCTTTGTGTTGTTTTGTTTGCGTCGCCATGGCGATTTGACCAAGGGCTCGCGCGTCGGGCCGCTTGGCATCTCGTGTTTTTCAGCAGCCCGACTGACGTAGTGAGAGACTCGGGTCAAACCCAGACAGACACGGCTCCACCTCTGCTCGAGTGTCCTTGATTGTGATTTTTTGGCTTGGATTTCTTTTTCTTTTGCCATTTGGTCGCCTCCCAACTTCCGAATTCCACTCACGTCTCTTTCTCTCTACCTCTTTATTGTTTGAATTGTTGACGCAAGGAGTTGCCTTAAAGGGAAGCCAATAAAGTTGACTTCATGGCTTCTGAAGGTTGCCGTGGGCCGCAGTGTCTAACGTTCCCTTCAGAATCCCCCCCCCCCCCCCCACCCAAGAGATTCTGCAGGTTCCCTTTTTTTTTTTTAATGAGCTTTACAGGTGGAATGTTCAGTCCTGCCAGTTCGGAGTCCATCCGATTTTAGCCTTGTGTGTTTGTGATGACATAATGTTCGGCCCAAGTCTTTTCCATATACGGTCCTCCGTCCACCCCGTTCAGACACGTCATGCTTCTCAGAGGCCTTCAGCCTTCACCGCGAGACGCTTCCTGTAACATGACTTCTCAAAGGCGACCCGACCACAGCCCTCTTCCTCACTCCATCGTTTCCCTGACGTCAGGAAGTTACACCGGGATGTGAGATGATTAGGATCCCAGTTGTGCTGAAGTTTCATGCCGTGTGCTTTACCTGAAGTGCGTTTGGCGTCTTCTCCTGTGGGGGTTTTTAAAAATGTTTGAGGAAACGCTGTAATTCAGTGGTTTTAAAATACAGCAGTGATCTGAAGAATTCCAGTATAATGGGATGTTTTGCAGCAGCCTGCTGGACTGAACACACTCTAGAGAGGTGCTGTAGGTCGTAGATTCTGCTGCTTCAACTACTTAACAAGCTTTTGCTCCAAACAGAATCTGTCTTGCTTTCACCAGTAATCTCTTAAAGAATTCCTTATTTTGCTTTATTTGTCTTTTATTTTTCTTACTGAGGATGAGCTGATTACTGAGTAACATCTAAATCCAAACCTTTACATTTAACCATTTTGTTTTCAGGTTTTTTGCTTACAACTGTATAAAAGAATGATTAAAGACGCATGGACACAGCCGAATGTTAATTATTTTTACGGCTTCTACTCACGTTTTTTTTATTGTGTAGCATCTGGTACTAAATCCCCCTTTTTTGAATTCCTCCACATCTCCTTAAAACGATGTGAATATGCTGTTATTTGACAAAGACATTTATTCCAGCAATAAAATCAGGCTGTTAATATTAGTCATAAGCATTTTGTTATACCTCCCAATTATTGGACAGTATTCAAGCTACACATGTTCCTCCTGCCAGCGAGGAGGAACATGTGTCGTTTGGAAGAACCAGTCATTACCAGTAACTACACAGCAGTAAAATCAGCAGTGTGGAAAGGACCACAGCAGCCACACTATTATGTGGCTGGAATCCCATTCATGTCAGCGCAGTTGGAAAGACACTCCATTTCAATTAAAGACATCCTTACATTTCTTTTTTTTGTTTTACTCTTTTGAATTCAGCTTTTTGACTCGTGTGAAACTCCTTCAGTTGTTAGAAGAGTACTCGGTGAAACGTCCTCTTCTCTCTCCAACCGGTTCCAGCTCATTACTTATCTTCTCTTGGGTCACGAGTGCTTCGGACCTCTTGATTTATATATTTAGACCCACAGTGGGGATTCATGAAGTGCTCTCTGTTCGCCGCAGACTACAGCAACCAAACCGTGTTACTCACATGTGAAGAGACGTTTTTATTTGTGCCGCTAGAGTCTTCTCCTCTCTTCATGTCTGCAACCAGCGTTTGAGGAGCTGCCGTATATAGAGCTGTACGGTTTTGTCTTTTTCTCACATCCGTACAAGGAGAGATTTTCAGATCTCCTTTCCACTGACTGAAAACGAACGCACACGCAGAGGGAGACACGAGGCGATTGAGAGAGCGAGAGAGACGACCACATGTTCATTCATCAATGCAGCACTTTTTGTATTCATTTTTACTGCTGTTGAGTCGTTTTTTTTATTGCCAGTGAACGAGTCAGGACAGACTCCTGGGCGGAAAGGTCCGTCTGTGAGTCTTGGAGTGAGTCAGTCTGCGCTCACGCCGGCGTTGGGCGCCGTGGCCTTTTTGTGAGCGGCACTTTGCACGTGGCCGAACCAGAGGCCTCCGGGGCGTTGGTATGCAGACCACCGCCAGCCTCGGATTCAGCACTTCCCGCTACTGATCTACTCCGACAATGGCGCGAGGAAAGCACGGCCCCCTGGAAAAAAAAATGTGCCACTGTCACTTCCGCATTCCACACCCCCACCCCCACCCCTCCCTCGCCCCTCGCCCACTCTTTTCCCCCTATTTCATTATGAGCGTTAACACAATGGCACATTCTTGACGTCTCGTCGGGTATTTCCTTAAAGCCACGGAGGAAGTCTTTTTAGTTCCCAAATGCATTCTTTGGAGTAAACAAATTCCTCCTGTTTATCTCCCCGAAATCAAGGACGCCCCATGCTAATAGCTAGCTGGTTCACTGAGAGGTCAAAGGTCTTTTGGATTCAGTGAAATTGTATTGGTTTATATAAAGGAACCCTCGATGACACACTCCAAAACAGGGTGACGGGATGGAACCGCTCTCGAGGACTCTTCGTTGCACTCTTCTGTCTCCCGAGACATTCACGGGACTCACCTGAGGCTCCACCTGATGTGATGAGCGTACTTCCCATTGCCTTATGTTAGATCACTCCACAATTCACTTAAGACTACTGAGGGATGACAAGAGTCATTACCAGAAAATACACAATTAGCCCAAAGAGTTAGTTTCCGCTACCGCGTGATTGCGTGATTGCTTGTTTTCCATGTTTTGAGTGCGTAATCGCAAGTCAAGCACCACACCTGTTGGACACACCCGAGCGTCACTGTTTCATCACCTTACTTCCTACGTGTGTGATGCAAGTCTCGGCACGGTGAGAAGCTGCAGACCTGATAAACCTTACCGCACGCTGCTCTACGGTGAGAAGGAAGCTGTAAAGCTTTCAGCGTTTAAGCCTCCGTAGTTGGAGCCTTGTTTGACGGCAGGAAATGCAAAGGAGAGCACAATTTCTGCTCTCCTTTCCATTTCTTTAGAAGGAATAAATATGTAGATGCCCTTCTTTCAATAATTGTATTTACCTTCATATACAAACCCTGAAGTTCCAAATATTAACACAGCACCATTTTAAATGAAGAACGTGCAGTCGAGCTGATGAAACAACGTGCAACATGAAACGAGGGTTGGGCTTGTGCACTCGGACCAGATCCAGAAAAATAAGCGACTATTTTAATGTTTTTTTTGCCCGCTTCCAATCGGAGACCACATTCTATGATTTAATGTGACGTGTAATGGGCCCACTACCACAGCAGCTCCAACCCGACCCGCGGTGTGGTGCAGAGCATGCTGACATGCCACCAAGTGGCACAGTATGGCTGTACACGCCTGTGGTGTAAGAGAAAAGTAAATAGGGTGGTGCCTTTTTCATGCTACTGAATATCAAAGGAAGTACTCGACTGGTATCTGTATCACTTTAAGGGTGCTGGTATCGGTACTTGCAATGTAAATTTCACTAGTGAATACTCATTGTTTAGTGCAATTGGGTCAAAACAAATGTTTTAAATGTCTTTTTTGTGTCATTGCAGCTGACTGATGGAGGCAAAGCAGCCAGAGCCAAGATGAGTGTTGGAGACGTCGTCCTGTCCATTAACGGCATTTCCACCAATGGCATGAATCACCTGGAGGCCCAGAACAAGATCAAGGCCGTCACAGGCAACCTGAGCCTCACCCTACAGCGGTAACGGTTGCCCACATGCACGCATGAGCAAACACTTTCTTAATCTAAGGATTCTCTCACTCAGCAGCGGAATGCATCCTTTGTTGATTTTGCCGAGCAGTGTGTATTCACTCTAAGCTCTTTTCAAGAACTACAGATCCATGAGTTCCCGTACTGTGGTGTTTATTTGAAGTTACTTTTCACATTATCGCGCGGACTAAAATAAGTATCAGTTTGATTGTCATGTTAGGTTTATGTATGGTTCTTATTATTTTGAACAGATGAACTTTTTAATTTTAAACGACACAAGTTTGGAAGCACTGTAGTTGCAGGACTTTGGCTCGTGAATCCTTTTACCTCTGAAAAAGCGAATATTCAGACAAAGCTTACTTCATAGACTGCTCCTCTGCTTCTCACATTAGACAAAAAGAAGACCCTGGTATTTTGGGGCCTTTGAGGATGTAAAAGCTGCAGTGCGGCGAATACGTAATACATGAAAGCCACTTTTTATAAAGCGCTCTGTGAAGCCGCAATATGTTCTTCAAAGAAATGAAAACACTACTTCAACTGCGGTTGCAATTAAATTTATCCACCAAGAAAATGTGTGAGGGCAAACGTCTTGTACAGTCCCCACAAAGGAAGGTCTCGAGTTGGTTTTGTAGAACAAGTAATCGCTCAAACTTAAAGGCTACTTTTCACAGGCAGCAAGATGTCAAAGATCAATTTACTTAATTTGCTGCATGGGACAATAAACGGTGCATTTGTTTAGCAGGATCCGTCAAAACAGTCGACGGATCCCGTCTAATGAATTTGTGCTGAACCTTGTCTGCAGCCGAGCCAAAAGGTTTTAGTATCGGACCAAAACAAATAAAAGACAAAGCACGCACGCTCTCCAAACTGCAAAACATGTTGACGGAAAACCCCAAAGCCTGGTTTCGCATGTCCTGTCATTCCATCGCCGCATCAAAAGAGAAAGAAGCCTTTTTGCTCTTTAACGTGGGAAAATAGTCCTAAAATAGCCGTGTCCGACAGCTGCATGTAATCTACTGCGGGTAAATGCTTTTCAATGAAACATCAAACATTCTGGTCTCACAGGGCACGTTAACTAGGATTAAAATCACCCTGTAAACAAGAAAGCTTCCCTCACTGCAAATAATACATGATTGCACTTTGCTTCATTTCTTTGAGGATGGTGTGCGTGATGATGATCTGGCATCCTTCTTTAAAACCCTGTTTAACTCAAATAATTCCCTCTGACATTGAGCCGGTCATGTTCCCACATTTGATTTATGTTTTTGTTGATCACTGATACGAGTATTGTTATTGTAGCAACATTCCCGGAAGAAGATTAATGGGACTACGTTGCAGTAACATTATGTCACTTGCTCATAGTTAACATTCTTTGGGTAGCTCCCAAAATAAAACACATAAAACCTACACGAGGCAGTGGTGTGAAAAAGAACCACACAAAAGCCCCTTTTAGCTTATCTTTGAATAAAGTGTTATACATAACACGTGTATGTACGTCCGTGCACACTAATGTGCTCACCAGCATACACCGATTTTTTTCATTATCAAGGGTTAGATCATGAAATCTGTCAAAAAAAATTATGAAAGTGACGATTGCAACGACAGTACATTAATAAGTGTACACAATAGATTGTTCATGACGGTTATTACCCAATCACATACAATATTTCCAACCGTTAAAAAACGTAATAGGCGGTATTGTATATCATTCAATAATAACATATGTTGTCCAGCCAGTCATTGATGCCATTATTTATTTCCCCGTTGCTGCGGAGGGGGAACGTGTTTTCAGAAAGGAAATCGACCCGGGGGTTGAAAGTACTCCCCTCATCCTGTCCACAACTGTCAAAATGAGTCTGAATGTTTGAAGAGCTGTTATGTATTCGGTGACAGAGGGGGGGAAAAAAACGGGTTTTCATTTTCAAAATTGCAGTCTCAGCAAACACGTCAAAACATATTTGAGCACTTTCCACGAAGAGAACAGACTGTTTGACCAAAAGTCTCCTTTTTGGAAGTGGGTTCCACTTCAGAAATCACCGTCAGTCCTTCATTCCACGCGATGAGAACATCTCTGAGGTTTGAGCTTGTGGTAGTGATTTGGTTATGAGCATCCAACACACGCTGTGTGCTTGTTATCGGCTGATATCAGCAGTGAATTGAATTGACTTTTTCTTCCACTGTGATGCAAATGTTTTTGCTGAGAAGCTGACAGTCAGTCAAACAGCGGCTGTGGGAAATAGCCTCAGGAAAGTATGATAATTGATGTTTATTTATTGTCCTTGAAGTATGCAGCACAGCGCAGAAAAAAACCCCAGACGAGACTCCGCAGAGGATTCGGCTGGCTGCACCTGGTTCCAAAACGTTACAGATAAAACGTACCAAAGCTGCTCGCTCTGGTTTCCTACGCAAGAATTCAATTCAGCTCGCGCTGCACGAGGGCGATTCATTCAGGTTTTGTGTTCTTTTCACTTCACTGCTCAGGAGGAAAAAAGGACCTACCTTAACTAGTCTATAACTATTATAACAGCCATATCAGATGAAGAGACGGAACAGATCGTTAATCTTCTAGAATTCACTCGATGAACGTTGGAAGCGGACCCCATCTAACATCAATCATGGTGACGTCTTCTTGGTATCGATATACCCCTCTTTTTGTTTTTGTTTTACCGAAAAACGTTTCGGACACGCCGGTAGGATTATGCGCGCGTAGACGCTGCTGTAGCAACATTTTAGACAGGATCTTATTTCACCCACAGGCCAGTTACCGTAATCACAAGTCACACACTTTCATACATGGCTAAAAGCACCGCCAGCATGGAACCATTATGGGATGGTTGTAACCGGGTGAAGTAGAGGACACCCGAATTTCATCCCAGAGACCCCTTGACTCTGGTCGTCTAAGCCAGATGTGGTGTGGTGGTCAGTAGAAAAGTAAGAAGAATGGGGGCTTGTTATTGCATTGCTCGGATCTACTTTAAATAAGTAAATTAACTGTAGTTGCAGGTTTTTGTTTTTTTGTGGTTTCCTGCACCGAGGGAACCGGCCTCCAGGAGAACTCTCGTCGTTTCCCTGCTCGCTTCGTTCATCGGTCCAATTGGGAATGCTCGTTTTGTTTGCCGAATGCAATTAAATTGAACCTTTTGCGTGGCTCCTCCCTCGCGGTTAACTTTTTATTCCACGGCCCCCGGAGAGTCATCGCTCACACGGCGAAGTGCTCTTAGAGGGTCACCGGCAAATGAATGGTACGACTGTTCCCCGTCAATACGATGCACGTGACTGCGGAAATGGACCTGGGCGCGTGGTTCCTACCCGACACGAGTTCAGACTGACGGACCGCAGGCGGTCCAGTTGGACAATAAGCTGCAAATAGAAGTCATGTCTCTGGCATTCTAAGCAATTTGGCTGCTTTCATCTGTCCCCGTTGTTATTGTGACTATTTCTAATGAGATGTGGCTTTACATAAAAGTAGAACAATTCCCCTCTCTGGGATGTTCATCCATGGTTAAATATGAGGTAGCCGTGGGAGGACTGGCAGAGGCCGTGTGTCTGACCCAAGCTGTGAGTTTTGCCACAGAAAACAGAAATTATATTTTCCAAGCAAGCTTATTCTACTCTGTTAGGTTGCTTGTTTTCCTTTCCCGTGTTTTCCTTCTTCTCCATGCTTTGGCTGGAATGCTCATGGATCGGTACATCTGAGAAGGGTCTCTCGCACAGTTCTAATGATTCAGAGCGCAAGTTCGATGTAAGAGCAAAGGTATTGTTAGAGGCATGCCGTTACTGTAATAGCGCGTGAATTCTGTGGTTCTGTAACATCTAAACAATGTTCTGATTCCCATCCTGCCCTTATATGGTGCGAGTGAACCGAACTATTTCTAGATATTTAATTTTAAAGAGCCGGTGACAGATGCTTGGAGGCAGGAGATCATTTACGACGTTTCTTTGGGTACTTTTCCAAAATAAACTGTGTGTGAAAGCAGTGTTGGGAAAATGTTAAAGCTACTCAATATTTTCTTCTGTTAACTGGTGTGATGTGTGATGTGTGTGTGGTGAGAAAGCTGTCAATTAGCTGCTCCATCTTTCAGCGAATGCAATATGCCAGACTGTTTCTCTTGGCTGTCAAAGAGACGCAGGCGGGATTTAAAATGTGTGTCTGCTTTGCCCTTTTGCTTGTTCGTCTGCTAAACCTCCACATGCTCTTATTGTGGTTGCACAGTGCAGGTCCTAGTTGATGAAAACCAAACTCAGCAACTTTCTTTTCCTTGTTCCAAGAACACTTATCTTGCTTCCAAGATAACGTTGTGCTCTTATTTCTTATAATTCTTAATAATGTTCGTTTCTAGATTTGGGCCATAAATAATAGATCTCACTATCTGTAATCTAATAAAAAACAGGCATCCTGATTACATTAGGGGAGACCGATTGGAGAAGCCTTCAACTGAGTATTATGATGACACACAGACGCACAAACTGGGGCCCTTTGACGTAGAAGGAAAGCAGATATTTTCTATTTTTAATAATAATTAGAGTAACACATAGATATTAATCCTTCTACAGAGGGTAACACATAAGTATGTTTCCTGTATCTTCATGTGCTTTGTTCAAGAGAAACTACTGTAGGTCATCTCTGAAAAGTACAGATGAACATGATCCTCATGCTGGGGAATTCATAAAAAAAGTTCCGTATGAATGTGAACAAACATCACATTTCATTGATAATGAACCACATTGTTTTACTGCAATTAACTATAAACCCCAAAACAAAAGTATACGCATGCTTGTCGGCCGACACTCACCCATGTTTCGTCTCTTAGCAGAACAAAAGCAGGTCCAGCTAGCCAGCGGCGGGACGGCACAGAGGGGCTGAGCCCAGCAGATGTTCTCAGGACCACCCTATCTAGCATTTGTTCAGTTTGCTAAAGGAAAAAGACTGATCGACTGATTCCATAATTTGTAATGGAATGTGCTTTTTATTCGAACTGTTTTCTTTGGCATAGCCTCCCGCTGCTCCATAAGCAAGTCCAATAATATGCGTGTACTGGAAAGTAAGCGTGGTGTATAGTAGCTGCTAAGCGGAAAGTGCAAGTACGGGCACGGGTGACATCAACATCTGGTTGGAGGGTGGGGCCCTTTTTAATAACCTGATGGTGCAAAGCTCCACTGTTGTGCCTTGGCTCGGATGGAAAGGAAAGGCTTCAGAGTTTGTTGACCGTTTTCCTAATATGAGGGAAAGGAAACACGGCAGCGGACATGCCGTAGCATCTGGTCCAGGACGTGATTTGGTGACTCACTGTCTGTTTTTCTAAAGAGACAAGAGACAAACAGGCCACCCGTCTCTCCTATAGGTGATAAAACTGAGGCAGCTGCTTCTATCATAAGTGTAAATCAGGTGCACAGCATGCTTTAACATCTGCCTGCACCTGGAATCCAGCTCTACTCTGCAGCATGTTCGCACATACTGGTAGTTTTACGTGTTTTCTTGTGCACAAACTACTAATTACATGTATTGAACGTTCTTCAGAAGCAGTTTTGAAGGTTTTCCTACTTCCAGGCCTCCACATGTTTTCATTTATTTTCAGCGCACAACAAGAGTCCATTTCCAGAACTTGTACTTTGCTTGAGATGACAATGTATCAATGGAAACATTTATTTTCTAAATAACAGTTGTGTTTTTTGAGAATTTAAACGATGGAAGAACCATTAAATCATCATCTATCATCGTAGAAGCTGACGTCTGATTCTCACAGCAGTTCGCAAGTCCACTCCTTTAACGTTGAGGAATTACACTCTATTACAAAACTATGAATGGTTGCATTGCAGATGTTAAATGGTTTTGTTTATATGATTTTTCTCTTTTCTTAGACCCTCCAGTGCCACTAAAGATGGAGCACCTAAGGTAAGAAATAAAAATTCACTTTTGTTTAATGAAGTTAACCTGAAGTCCATTAAGTTTATAAATATTACAACAGTCAATAGGAATTGAGCATGTTTATTGTGCCCTTCTGGGATTATGTCAGAAAACACGTTGGCTTGGCATGTTTTACTGATGCTACAGCACCTCTTAGACTCGTAAAGCACAGGCATGACTTTTATCCAAACACCTTTTTGATTTTGAATGCTGGTTTTGCGTGCATGAGTTTATTGTGGATTTGCTGTTTGCATGCTGTGTGTCTCCACCTCGTTCCAGGTCGAACCTCAGGAAATCATTAAGCCTGTCCCCATCACTCACCCTGCCCCGAGCACCGCATACACCAAGCCGCCGGGCCAGCTCGCTCCCACGTACACCAAGACCGCCCGGCCCTTTGGGGGGGGGGACGGCGGCGCGGCCACGGCTCCCTCCCCGGCTGCCCCCGCCATTCCCTCACAGTCCTCCGCTTTCAAGCCCGCCGCTCCTTCCCAACCGCCGGAGCCCCCGTTCCTGCTCAAGTCGAGCCTCCCCGCCGCCGACTCCCCTCCGGCCAACTCGGCTCCCAGGGCCGGCCCCGCTCGCCACGCCTTCACTTCCCCGTCCGCCTCTTCCTCTTCGTCCAACTCCTCCTCGCCAGCCAGAGTGACGACCCCCTCCTGCCACCCCAATGTCCCACAGCCCTCCGTCTATAACACCCCGATCAACCTCTACTCCAACACCAACGCCTGCGAGGCGGTCATTGGCCAGAGACGCGGCCTTTTGGAGAGCCAAGGGCTGTCGGAGCCCTTCAATGGGTAGGTGCCAATCATCAAACGCCCGTATGTGTTCTTCATAGGAGTGTGACTGGAGATGATCATACGGGTGGAGTTTTGGTTCATGGAGGTTCGCAGATCAGCAGTCTGCTCTTCCTGTACCTCATTCCCCCTTCCGCCTCAGGAAATACGTCTCGTTCTGGAACGCTGCCGTCGACGCAGCCCATCGGCGTATCTGTCCTCGCACAGCTGCAAGCGAGGAAATTCCGAAGCACGCCGCACATCTTTTTTGAATTTTCCGCACGGCAACAGAGTTTAGACAACCTGCTCACTGATGCTACCGCCGGCCTGTATAAAGTTGACATAGCGTTTTCTTAGCAATGCCAAACAGCCAGTCGGCCCAGCCGCCGCCGCTGGTGCAACACTTGTTTCTCATTAGCCAGACTCGTGGCAGCTCTGGGCTTCTTAAAACTCGGGACTGGTTAAAGTTTGGCCGGACTTGACTTGATCAGCAGGATCCGGCTTAGTGGCTGGGTCACGGTAGGCCGAGCTACGCCGCGCTAAGCGTTTCGCCACTCATTCTTTGCTCTCTCTAATCTAAAAACAACAGGTCTCAGAGATCTGTTTTAGTTGGCTTGCAAGTGAGCAAGCAGCTTCACACTCAAATACTTCTGCCGAAGCCGCCTTCATCTGTACGTGTTTCACAAAGTCACAAGAGTAATGATTAGTAACAGCGGCCTATTAAGCAATGTTTAGAATACGTTTCTCAATCTGGATTTGGCGAGATAACCTGAGCAAATGTAAAGAAAACAATTTCCATTAATTCATATTTTCCTCTGAAAAAGCTTAATAGCTTTCTGTTGCAGTTTTACAGAAGGGAAGCTTTATTTTTTGCAGCATGTGCGTTTGTGTCCTGGCCTGCATGCCTGCTTTTTGGGGATTTCTGTGGAATTGCTTCATGCACATTCTTTTTGCAAGGTATTTTGCTCAAAGGGCATTCCTTTTTATATAACGGCTTATTTTTTTAACTGCTCCATTCATGCTCCTCCTTTTTCTTCCATCCTTTCCCAATCGCCCCCTTTCTTTGCCCTCATTAGGAAGGAGAGACGGACACCAAGTTAGTGATTTGAATGATAATACATCTGCTGCAGTCCCTTTCTAACTACGTGGATTCTGATTACAACCTTCACATCTCTCTGCTTTATGATTTCCAAATGACCGCATGCCTGCGGCTCTTCCTCACAAATCTCACAGCCGCGCTCCTCCACTCACAGTACGTGCTCGTTTCAAGGTTCAGGCACACTGCGGAATACCCGTCAATAATCTCCTGAGATGCCACAGGCCACCCGGTGCGGGTCAGCTCACCAAAATGAGGGTTTGGCTTATATGTTGTATTTACAGCCAGGCCCAGGTCACCCAGCTTGGCATCTGATTAGCCCAGATTGTGAATCTGCTGTCCTTGTCGGCGTGTTTCGGCCGGACAGTTACAGCGGTGCACGTTCTGCTGTGGCTGAGAATAGGCTGACTTGTGCTGCCTCTGATCATCGTTCACCCCGACCCGCCCGACGCACAAACACACAGAGAATGATAAATGCACACGCTGGGACACTCGACAGGAAATTTGCTCACATTTCTGAACAGCCATTTAAATGGACGGGGGACGGGGAACGGGGACATTTTTTCACCTTAATATTATTGCATGTTATGGTTTCCTCAATTATGCTTTAGGAGAAAATGAGGAGCTCAGTTTCAAAGCTCATTAATTCCACCTCGTGGTGAAATGTGGGCACTGTCACTTGTAGCTTGTAACAATCATATTAAACCTTCAAACTGTGCATTTTATTTTTCTATAGTAAATCTAATTGCTTAATGAATTCATTTGTTTTATTATCTGAATGACGTCTTCCCCTATGGTTTCCTCGATAATAGTAACATCAGGGATTTTCCCATCGAGACCTTTTTGCCGTTTTGTCCCTCATTACCATCTAATTGCTCACCTGCAGAACTCCACCTCCAGCTAAAAGTTTATTGTGAAATCTAACTAATCTTTTTGCTATTGTATTAATGTCAACGTGTGTGTGTGTGTGTGTGTGTGTGTAGAAACTGTCAGATATATATATTTTGATGTTTAAAACGCAGAGTCCTTCCATGTCTGTAACGTCGTGATGGATGATCTGTACAGGAAGCCCAATGCGCAGCCCGTGGATCATGCGTCCCCACTGAGCGACGCCAGCAAGAAGCGGCTGATTGAGGACACGGAGGACTGGCACCCGCGAACCGGCACCTCCCAGTCCCGCTCCTTCCGGATGCTCGCTCAGCTCACCGGCACCGAAAACGGTGCGTAGCAATCTGTGTGAAGGCTTCATGCTCAGCACACTCAGATTACAGGGTGTATGTTTTTTTTTCTGTCTAAAATGTTGAAAATATTGCTTATTATTATATTTTAAGAAGTATCAGCTTGGTTATTTTAGTCATTTCATTCAAAAGCTGTCAAACGGCTTCAGGCCCGTAGCACATGTCAGATTTATCCAAAGGTTTCCAATTTTGGGTAATCTTTGGCGTCTTCCCTTTAGAGGATTTTATATGGCTTTAAATAAGTCCTTGCTTTATGATTGTATGTATCTGTCTCCTCACGTTAAAGTGATACGGGCTCTTTAGTCAAATATTCCAAGAAGGCTTTCATCGCTGTAAGATTTTAGTGTATTTTTTATACGACCGTTTTTACAATATGGTTACATAATCATGCTCAGGATCTCCCGCTGCATTTATGGCAGTTTTATGAATATGTGCATTTTATCTGCTTAACCTATGAAACATGTCCTTTTACAATAGCTCTTTTATAAGCATTAGAATGAAGTAAGATGAGAGATTTAACCGTCTCTTTCTGTCAAATGATGTTAGCAGACTGGGCTGGGATATGCCCTGTTCTTTGAATATCTGATGTCTATTCAGTGTGCCTACTGCTTCTGCAGCTGTGAACAATTTGAGACATAGAAGAAGCTTGAGTAGAGCTGCAGCCGGTAGAGGCCTTGTTTTTAACAGTGTGTCCCCCCCCCCCCCTATTATCACGGACCTCGTAGTGTTCCTCTTACTTTAATTCTTTATTGGTGTTTTTTCATTTCATTTTTGCAGAGGCCGCTCCGGAGAACAGTGCGAAGAAGTAAGTGCTTGGTATTTTTTCGATTATAATCAAATGTTCATTCAGTCTCTGTATTTTACCTGTCAGTATTTTTTTGTATTTCATAATAATACGAATAAGAATTTATTGACCAAGTTTCTTTATCCAGAGTTGGCCCACGAAGCACTCATTTAAGCGCGTCTCGGAGCCTGTGATTCATAGCCTGTAAATCCTCATTTCCTGAACCTATGGACCCACAGTATTACGCTTAATTTAAGGCCTGATTTAAGGCCTGATTTAAGGCTCACTTGAGAGAAACCGCTGCGAGAGCTCTCAGAAGCAGATGGTTGAACGGAGACAGCCAAAGACTCGGCAAAGGCTGCGACTACTACCGCTGTACTCGGTCGTAAACCGATTTAATCTCCAGTAAACACAGTCTGCTCTCCGCACCAATCAGTGTGTCCCTAACTGGAACCTGCGGGTAATTAAGTGATATTGTGGGTAATGGCAGCCCTTCCAGAAGGAGATTGCTGCTCTCTTTCTGCGAATGAAATTTTGAGGGCCTATTACACATCTGCTAGGTTTTGAAATTCAATCCACATCTGCCAGCAAAAGGTTTATTGTTGTATACTTTTAATACAATTACTTCTTATTGTATACTTTTTGTTGTTGCTGATGCTATTTCCCACCTTACGTGTCAATGTGATCTCTCTTGTATCGTCTTTTACTTCTCTTCTACAATCTTAACCTTTGCAACTTTCTCTTTCTCCTTTAATCCTGTTTAACGGGGCAAAGCAGAGGGAACAAGTTGGACCAAGAAGTTATAGGACACAAGTGCAACAAGCTGAGAGATTGGCATCATGACGTTTCAGCGCATGTGCTTAATGTGCAGTAAGCACAGTTTTCTCCTGTCATGTGTAGTATTTTATTTATTTTATTTTAACCACTATAAAAATACATTGCTTCCCTTTCTCATACCAAGCTTCAGCCTTATAATACGATATTTATTCTAATTAATTTAAAAAGTTTTATTTTAAAAAGCCAAAGGGACACATTATCCTGCCAGTTGTAGAAGTAAATTAAATTCATACATGCAAGTAAAGATGATTTTCAGTAAATCAAAATGTGTCTGTAACATTGTTTATTTTCAAGCCTCTACTGCTTTTCATATTTCCTGTAATCTTATTCATTTTTCTGGCCTTGTCTTTGTCTTTTTCCTCTATTACCTACACTAACCAACAACTTTTCATTTGTCCGCTTTTAATTACTTTACCTCAATAAACTTTTTTCTTCCTTTTCTGCGGTTGCTTCGCCTATTTCTTAATCTTTCATTCCTTATTTATTCTCTTGCCAACAACAAAAAACGTAGACTTTTTAATTACAGATGCCACATAGTTGAAGGTCTATATGAATGAGTTGATTGTGCAGACAAACATTTCTATAGAGCACCAATTTCATCATTAGGACAAAAAGTTACACGGTTTCTCATCATTTGATTTTGAGACACTAAAGCGATCAGTCTACGCTTCAGGTGTGAGTCCGTGGGTTTTGCCTCATTTATGAGAAAAGTATAAATCCTCGTTTGACAGCACAATCGGCTCTGCTGTCAGCAACACGCACTGTGCCTCGGGGTTAGAAAGCGTTAAACCTGTCGCTGCAAATCTTTTGCTCAACCAGTTTCAGGAGAATAAAAACCAATAACCACCCACTTAATTCACACCGAGGCTCTCGTTAACCATCGGAGGCTGAGCTGCGTGTGCAGCAGACACTGTGGCATCACCGCCTGAAATAGTTTCCTCCTGTCAGTAATTGACAAACCAAAAGGTTTATGTCACGGCCCCGTGATGGTCCTGATTGTTTGCACGTGTCACTGATTGTAAACGTTTTGTTCTCTCAGTCGACCGGATCAGTTTCAGGCGACGGGCATCGGATGGCGCGTGTTGAAGATGTACACTGAGACGTGTGTGTCCGTGTTGTAACGAGTTATGATTTATGCAAAATGATTCACATCTGTTTCCCAGCGAGGCAGTTGACAGAACCGCGCCCGCCCTGCACACCTCGCCTGCGGCGAAAACATTTTCCAAATCCGCAGCGTCACCGAGGAACAACGCGGTCGCCGCTCCCATGTTGAAGAGCTCACCGGCCCTGAACGCACCTCGGGGTTCGCCAGGTACAGGTGAACACATCCGTACTTGTTACGTCATTTTTGGGGTAGTGGCTTCTTTTGACCTCCAGAGGGCAGCCTCGTTCTTTCAAATGACCGCTCGCTCAGCCGTAACATTTATTGCGGTTTTAATATCTGACACTAAGCCATTTTAAGATTACGAGCTCTATAAAATCCAGAGTTATTCCGTTAATGAGCTCACATTATTGGCCTTTCCCAAGATCCTCTTAGTTAAATAGATCTTGAAAGTGAGAATTATGTATTTGATTTTGTGTGAAGGCCACTCTTTAAATCCGGCGATCCCTGCCGCGAGAGACCTCGAGCTGGTCGGGGTAAATATTTGCTGAAGGGCCACAGTAAAGGGGTCATTATTAGCAATGCTAAGACACAAGTGAGCAGTCATACAAGAACAGATGCACTATGTGCCCCAACATATTTCCCGAGAGGGTCATTTTTATGTAACGACCGCTGGAAGTCGCCACAGGGCGAGTGCTGGAGAGCCCACAGTCGGTTCTCTGTTGACTGTGTTCTTTATCAAGTTAACACGTGCTTAAGTTCAAGTAAACAGGCCCATATCTCATCGTGGCCGTGTGCAACTGGGCGGAGATGTGTGGAATGTGGCCTATTATATTTATCGACATGATTGAATCATTTTGGCACTTAAACTGCAGCAACCTTCTGAAGCAAGAAATAAGTGGAGGATTAAGGCCGTACAAAAAATATTCCTGAATATGCTGTAATATTATTAAAATTTGACACCTTGATAGATGATTCAACTTAAATTAAATCCCCAGGGAGACTTTTTTTTTTGCATTGCTTTCTCTCCTGCTGTCTGTAGTGAGACAGAACAGACAAAGCAGAACTCTAATTCAGTTTTTTCTCTCCTTATCTTCCTCACACATTAAAACAGCAACATGATGAACAGTGTCCGTCTTCATTTTCCGTCTCATGTGGCTCAGCCTCTAATCGCGTCTCCTGCGAAAGGATTTGTCGAATATTTTAAGCGCACTGACAGCTTGTCACCATCTGTCTTACTGTGACAAACTGTCACACCAATAAACCAATAGAGTGAAACGGAAAAATAGGTTGACTCCAGATTAATCCCTGCATAAATATCCCATCTAATTAAAATATACGTGTGTTTTCCATTATGTACAGCAATTATATTTTCTGATCGATAATAACGGATTTCAAAAGAAGGTCTTAAAACTGTCTTAGAACCATTTCCATACTGACTACTGGAGACCGAATACGTTCACAGAACTTAATTATATTAACTCAAAAGTAAGCAAAAATAAAAATCCCATGTCTGTATTTTTGATTGTAAACACCTTCATGTTTGCCAAGCCCACCTAAACTCCTGGAAAAATACTAATAAACACTTGCTCAGAAAAGAACATGACCCTGCTCAGGAAGTGTTGGGCGATTCACTTCATTTTATGTTTGCAAATGTGTCCGGAAATTGTCTGACTGCGTTTTTGGCAAGAGCAAATGAACCCTAACGAAAACGTAACATATACGCAATAATTAGAAACTAAATAAAAAAATCTCAGGAAATCTTTATATCCCTGTTAGGAGCTCATATTTGTCCCCATCACACTTGCTCTCCATGTGTTCCTGTTAAACCCTCTTACACATCTTCTCACACATCCCTGCTAGTGCACTGATTCATTTTGTTTGCTCTCAGTTTCAAGGAAATTAAGGGAGCTCTTGTCCTTTGACCTCCCAAGTCTTTGACTCTGCACTGACCTCCTTCCTGCATTTTTCCCCAGTGAGAGGGGAAGGAGAAATTGTGCATCCTATGTTTTGAGATTAAGTGGAGGGGGAGGGTAGTATTTTTCCAGGTGTCTCCTCTGACTTTGGGAATGTGTTTCCTCTCTGTGGGGGGGAAAAAGGGGTCTCTTGTCTGGGTTGGGTGGGGTGGCTCTGTCCGACACAGCTGTCTCTAGCTTCAGCCACGGAGGTTAGGGATCATGAAATCATTCTGACAACACGCACCGAAAATGTTCACATATGCGTCTACTTAACTCGCAAAATAATGGTCATCAGTTGAAATTAAATCAATATAGCTTTAGAATTAGAATCTCGAGGTAACATGCTGACTCGTTATTTTCCCTGCTGGCTTTAGGTGTTCCTAAGGTTGGAGCCGCTCCTTCATTTGGCAAAGTTACCAACCCGCCTCCGAAAGGTCCCGATCGTCCCGTCCCGCAGCCGCATCCGCAGGACCTCAACTCTGTGGTGCAGCGGGCCGAGCACATCCCCGCCGGGACGCGCACCCCGATGTGCAACAAGTGCAACACCGTCATCAGGTAAATAATAACTCACACCAACTAAATCGGTGCCACATCCGCCATATTCACTAATACTTTACGGAAACGTTACCTTACTTGTGCTTGTTTTTCATCGTTTCCTTGAATCCTCTGTTGCTTGTTCTGTCCTTACAAGGGGCCCATTCCTTGTGGCCATGGGCATGTCGTGGCACCCCGAGGAATTCAACTGCGCTCACTGCCACTCCTCCCTGGCAGAGCGTGGTTTTGTGGAGGAGAGGGGCCAAGTGTACTGCGAACGTTGCTACGAGCAGTTCTTCGCTCCCACCTGCGCCCGCTGCCAGCAGAAGGTTCTGGGAGTAAGTGACCAGAACCGCGGCTCTGCCAAAGGCTAAACGTTTGTCTTTGTTTCGCTTGCAAAAACAATGTGCACCGCCCCTTTTTAATTTTACAAAGCGTTATTCAATCCACGATTAGGCCGATTGAGATCAAAAAAGTTCTGGCCGAAACATTTGGGCAACAGCACAAAGGGTAAAAATAAAAAATGGGAACGTGAAGAATAACAAAACCGAATAAGCCACAATATTGCAATACAAGTATTTAAAAGCATTGAATCAAATCATGGCGTTCACCACTCCAACAAGCTGTTCTTCATCTTATCTTCTACCTTCTCTGCAGGAGGTCATGAATGCCCTGAAACAGACCTGGCATGTGTCCTGTTTCGTCTGTGTTGCCTGCAAACAGCCAATCAGGGGCAACACGTTCCACATGGAGGATGGACAGCCGTACTGTGAAAAAGGTACAGTGGGAAGCGCACAGTTTCAGTCGACCCAAATGCTTCAATGAAAACCCACACGCGCAAACACGCTGACGTTCTGTCGACACGCTGTTCACTCAGACTACTACCAGCTATTTGGGGCCAGTTGCCACGGCTGCGACTTCCCCATTGAGGCAGGGGACAAGTTCCTGGACGCACTGGGATTCACCTGGCATGACACCTGCTTCGTGTGCGCGGTAGGTTTTCACGAGACAGTTTTTACTAAGCAATGTTTTAAATAAAGGGTGAATGTTAACGGAGCTGCGTATGACTTTTCTCTCTCTCTCTCTCTCTCTCCACAGGTGTGCTCTGCCAGCCTGCAAGGTCAGGCGTTCTTCTCCAAAAAAGACAAGGCTTTGTGCAAGAAACATGCCCACGCTGTCAATATCTGAGCTGCCTGATGTGGAGGTCAACGGGGTCATTCTACAGCCATTTATATTTCAGTCAGCTGTTTTCAGAATTAACATTGGGTCGGAGTACATTTAAATACACCCTTTGCCCCTCCCTACCACTCCCCCTGCCAGTTTTAATGTTGCCTGCCAAAGCACATGTTTGTGCTAAGCTTTTTATTTGTGTCTTGATGGGTATTTTTTTTTCACACGGAATATGATAGTTTACTGCAATGACCTACTGAGCCCCTCAGGGGTCACATATTATTAAGAAATAATGATGGGGAACGGTCTGCTAAGAGTTTAGCGAGTGAACGGTTTAAAAATCATGATTATTTAACAGTAAATTATTTATTTGTAAGCACGGTTTGCTCAGTCAACCGGCATTCAGCAGCAAAAAGACTTCAGAACCTAAATGAGAAATTTTAATGTTACCTTTTTGTTTGTATTGTTCTAAAAATATGTGATGTGTAACCATTTCCGGGTAATAGTTATGTATAAATTAGTGTGCAAATTACACACTGTAAAGTTTCAGTGTTAAAACTGCGTACAAGTGATTTTATCAGGCCAAAGGTCAGTTTTTACTGAGACAACCCCATTATGGATCAATTGGGTTTGTGTGCTATGTTTTGTTATTCCTTTTCTCATGCTTCCAGTGAATACCGCCATAAAACTTTTCATTAAACTTGCTCCTGGCATCAAATACACAGAATTCGAATGTTTTTTGTCACGACGGAGGAAGTGAACCCTCTTCCTTCATGTTGTTTTCATGTTGTAAATTTGTCGATAAAGTTTTTTCTGATGTTTGATGGAATTTGTTTACAGAAACAATGCTAAAATATTTCAGTTTTCCTTTTTGAAACGCATTGCTCTTTTATTGGAAATGGAAACGGTGCCAAAGACATATGCGTTTTCTCAGTGTGCTTATTTTAAATCCATAGATTAGATTAGATTAGATCAGACTGTAATGATTCATAGAACTCATGAATAATCCTCATAGAGGCAGACGGGCACGTTCACGGAAAAGTGAACATCTCCACGGCGACCGAACGGACGCACATACACACACACACACACGCACGCACTTTGGTGCACACTTTCCTGTATGACATTAGTTCAGTGACACTATCTATGTATGTTAGACAGCAGGAAACACACAGGCCGTTGAGACGGAGCGCGCGGGTGTCACTGCGGGAGACGTTGCACCTGGAGGCGCGCGGCCGAGCGCGCTCACGTGCGCTGCTCCCCAAAGGCGTCGGAGGTGCGCCGAGATTTAGCAGCATCGAGCCACGCGTGGTTCACAGCGGCAGGGAGACACGTCGACACGCAAACAGCGCGAGGACGAGCTGCTTTTGACGCGCGACGGGAAGAAGACGGTAAGCGCACTTCGAAAGAAAACCTTAAAAAAAGATGTGATTCGAGACGCAGCTGAAAAACTGTCTGCGGTGGAAGCTTCTTCCAATCGGGGACCGGAGCAGAATCTGGTTCTGCTGCTGTCCGTTAGAACGGGCGGAGGCTGCGCGCGAGCAGCGGGACTCCGGTTCAGGAGGGTCGGCGGAGTCCGGGATGATGATGATGATGATGCTGATGATCAGTAATTGGTGCCTTGACCGCTAGTCAGCACCTCGCATCTCTTTTAAATTGCGTTGGGATGAGGGGCAGCGGAGTTTATGGGTTTCATCAGTTGACATTTACTTGAGACATGAAGGTCTGTCCAGGGGGAATCAGAAATATCTGAGTTGCTGGCTTGTTTTTATGACTTTGAAACAAGAAGGATGTGCAGGGAAAAATAGTCCACCTCAAGGTCCATTTGCGATCCGGAGGTTTCAATCACATCCCTTTTCATCACCTGATACAGTTTGCCAAGTTCAACTAGTTAGTCCATTTTTATTCTTCCATCTGCCCTCAAAATCATTCAATACGATCAAGAGCTACTAAATGGACCTTGCACTGAGATTATTTATTGTTTTCTCAGCGTCCTCTTTCAAGGTCAAGATGCTTAAGTGTAAACCTCCGCTCTATGGGATTTGATGATTATTGTGCTCACGTGTCAATCGAGAACAACATTTGACCTCTGAACTCATGGCACAGAACCTCCCGGTGCTCCTTGATCTCAGAGGGTCTGTGGACCAGTAGCTGATGCCTGTGACTCGCTGCGGCGGAGAGAGCCGGGCGCCACCTGCTGCACCTTATGCAAGTCTGCGGGGGGAGGGAGGGCAGTCTTTGTCACACCCATCATTACGCGATGGGGGTGACGTGTCAAGTGAGGGTGCATGGCCAGCCAGACCTATTGTGGTGTATGTGTGTGTGAAACTTACCAACATGCATGTTAGCGCAAGTAACGGTGAGCGCGTGAGGCCGGCCGGTGAAATGGAGTCCTCACAGACCTCTTTATGTTGTGTGTTGTTGGCTAATGGCGTTCCAAAAAAAGATCTGAACAGCACTTTCTGGCGGTACACTTGCGGGCTTCTTAATGGACTTCTGTCTGTGGTTGAAAAGTGAAGGATCATGTGACATCCCATATTTCCAACTTATGGGCTTCATGCAACTATGGCTGCAAATATTGGGCAAACTAACACAAGAAAGAATAAGATAACTCTTAGTCCAATAAACAATATATGCACTATGTGACTTTTATGTGCTCTTGATTCCCTCCCAATGTCTTTTTTTAAATATAATAACATCACAACATTGTTTTAAATGAAGACATTTATTGCAGGAGGACTCCAGTTCCTCTTCGAAAGGTCTGTCCCAGTGAGCCAACCTGAACACACGAGCCCGTACGCACAGATACACATTCATCTGGTGTGTGCGGTCCTCTAGTCTGAATGCACATCAACACAGCTGTAGGTAGATACCTCCCTGCGTACTGGAGTCTGTGGTTTCCACAAGCTGCAACCCCTCACCCTGGTTTCCTCCCTTATAATTACAGGAAATGAGTCCAGCCAATCAGTGCAGATATATTTGGTGCATATTAGCAAGCAGTATTTAAGGACCGGACAGTTAGTGACCAAGTATGTCAGAGGGGGAGGAGAGGCTTTCTCCAAAAAGATTGTTTGGAGCAGAATGAAAGAAAAGTAACACTGAAGTTTTGGGTTCATCTCCTCACACTCACGCAGCTTTAGGCAATCTGTGGTCTGTCAGACGGATCCTTGGTCAGTTCAGTATATCAAGAGAAAACTGAGACATTCAGTCCCAGGCGTCTCTGCTCTATGTCTTTTCCAGCTGTCAGACCATTTCCTTTAGTCTCTTCTCCTCTACACACACACACACACACACACACACACCGATAGAGGAGCATCACATATCAAGGCTCTCCACAGGTACAGTGTGACTTTTCCATCTGTCGTTTATTCTCTGATTTCTGCTGCAGTTGGCTGCTCGTCCCACAAGCTATCAAAATAGCATGTCCCCATGTGCACACACACACACACACACACACACACACACACTCTCTCGCAAACCAAAGGAGACACACAGCCGTTGATGCAGGCCCGTGCTTGCTTCTTTCCCAGAAGGACTCGTCGACTCTCCGGAGGACGGGTATATACTCTAAGTCAAGTCAGAAGTCCTACTTGGAGATGAGCTGATGGCGAGGAGCGGCCTGCCGCGCCTCCTCTGGCTCCCATCAGCGAGGAAGCAGCCACAGGCGTAACGCGGCCGCCCTCCTTCCACTTAGGCATAATCTCCCTCCTCGTACCTGTAGGCTCCACAGGCTGCTTGGCGATTCCTTCAGAGCCCGGTGCAGATGCCCCCTCCCCCCCTCCCCCTCTCCCCTCCCCCCCGTACTCTGTTTCATCCGTGGCCGTCGATGAGACACAAATGCGGGCAACAGGAATTGCTTAAAGCTGCGAGCCGCTGTGCTCTTTTGCCTGGAAGGTCAGCAGCCATGTGAGAGAAAGACATCCTGTTATTAGAGAAAGAGGTACAGGATAAGTGTGTGTGTGTGTGTGTGTGTGTGTGTGTGTGGGGGGGTGATTGAAGATTGAAGAACAGAAGAGGATAAGGGCTATTAAGCACAACTGGGGGGAAAGTCTTAAGCGGGGAAGTGACCTGAGCTTGAAGTGGAGTCTCAGTCCTCAGTCGCTGGTAGACGGCGGACATGTGAGCTCCTCCTAATAACTCTGCTGGCTTTTCCTCCAGAGAAACACGAGTGGTGACAGGATGCTTTTCCATCTGCTGTGCTCGGATTGGTGAGTCGAGCTCTCGGCTACTCTATATTATTATTTTTTTTTTTATTTGTAACAATGTTAATGAATGAAATCACGAAGCACTTTCTTGATAGTGAGACTGAGACGTGTTGATAGATGTTCCATATAAGCCCTCCGATGTAGTTTGTGGTACTTTTCACTTGATTTCCCAACCAGTGATATTGTGAAGGAAGTGAAATCAAAAGCTAAAAGCCGTATTGATCAGCATAGACTTGAGTGCTGATACTCCTGCAGTAGAGGTAGTATTTGGCAGGATGGTGTGTGTGTGTGTGTGTTCTGAATGCCAATTGACTTTCTGCTGAGCATGTTGACGGCTATGTAAAATACACCACGCTGACGATAATATTGGAGAAATCATGAGATCAGCGTCTGATGGAGGGAGGGAAAACTCTCGGAAGTTTTGATTTCACCTGAGTAGCATTGCATTGCATTGCAAGATTTGTCTTTTCGTGTGTATTAAAGGTGCCCGCAAAATAATTTCATTCTTAAGACTACTTTATCTTATTCGTGTAGCAGATATAAACATTTTCCTGCAGAAATAGATTGATAAAATAGATTTAGTTTTTCTTCTTACTGTTGTTGAATGGAAATATTTATATGCATATATTTTAAAGAAAATATAGAAATGGAAGTATTGGGACATGTTGTGCGCATGCAAGTGCAGGACAGAAGAAAGAAATCCTTTTTTAGATAGACTGTATATTGTTGCCCCTGGATTTCAACCATGAGCAGGCCTGCCGCATCATTTAATCAGCATTCCTTTCACATTGAGCCATGAACTTGCCACTACAGGACCCGTCATAAAAGGCAGAAAATGCTGACACAGCTACAAAGTGGAGGTTTGGTGCAGGGCCGTGGACCCCCCCCAATCCTCCCCAAAAAATCCCGTTACTGTACCAAAAGAGAGGACAATAGCGGCCCGCATATGTGAGGAGAAGCCTGCTCGGACTCCTCCTGGGACGGTGACCTGCTGGCAGGAAAGGCGAGATGGCCGAGCAGAGAGTAACTCACACCCCGTGAGGAATGTCAAGAATCCGTGTGTTAAAGTTCACACCGTATTGCCATCTGTGGCTGGATCCTGGCAAATAAAAGGCGGCTGCGTGTGAGTCAGTATGTGTGCACGCAAGAAAAAGAATATTAAGCAAGTGTTTGAAGGTGGTTCGTTCGATTTGATGTTTCTTGAACTACGTTTACATTTACACAGCGGATATTTGAGTGCACGTGGATGCTCTTCTCTCCCAGGTGTACATACCTGACCATCAGGTGTTCTCAGCCCGTAAGTCTATTCGGTCTATTAAGAAACGACAGGTCAGAGAGGCCACCTACTGAAGTCACCTGTTCCAAGGGAAAGTGGACGCCTGAGAGTCGACAGTCTCCGCCGTGTTGCTCTTAAGGGCGGCACCCAGCTGTGACCCGGTGTGTTATGTTGCTGATACAATATTGGCTCAGCGTTACTGGAGTATGCCTTGTGACGCTTGCTTAAAGTTCATCATTCCTTGTATCTGTTTGAAGAAGGGAGTGTGCGATTCACCCAAGACTCAAAACACGTCAACGTGGTCTCCCTCGACAGTTCTGATCTTTCAGCAGCCCGGCCGGGGCGAAGCTCGGTTCTCGGTTCTTGCACGTCTTCTAAACCACGGACCTCATTCCGCTGCGTATCTGATTCTGCAATCGAGCCTCACGCCCGTCCGCTAAATAGGAAGTGACAGCGAGTGCCACTCAGGCTGCGAGAGGAGATGGAGAAACCGATGCAGTCGATTCCTCTCTTGTTTGTGTGTGTGTGTGTGTGAGTTGTTTTTTCTCGGGTGCTTGGCCTTGTGTTTTGCGCTGACAGGTTGTGAAATGGCTTTCATATGTGCGTCTCCCCCCCCCCCCCTTAGATTGTGCGCAGGGCATGAAGGGTTGTGCCTGCGAGGCCGTCCTGAGGGGATCGTGCTGAAATAAGACCCCTCCGTCGCAGTCTGGGGAATAGAGGCAGTTGAGGAGGAGCTGCAGTGACGTTTTAGAAGAAGCTCTATCTGCAGAGATCGTATCAGGTGAGCTCTCACACACACACACACACACACACACACACACACATGCACACCAACCAACCATGCCGCGCCATATCTCCATCCCTGTCCAGGTTTGGTATTGCTCGCAGCCAAAGCAGGTGACAACAGTTCATGAAAAGGACTTAAACGTTCAGTTACTATTACAGACGAGAGGTGAGTCATGTGACTGTAGCCAGCATGTCCGTTTGGAGGACTCGTCAACCCATAACTGTCTATATCGTGTCTGCCACACCCCCCCGGTGCTGACCCTCAACCGTGACAGCTGCCGTCCTTTGTTGGAGCGGTTAAGTGTTTTGGCACGTGTGTTTTTTCCCCAGACTTTCCCCTGTGACGTTTTGAATGTTTTCTCTGTTTTTTGACCAGTTTGGCCACAGGCTGCTACAAACTCTTTGCAGCGCTTGTGTTACTCTGAAAAGATTAAAGTGCCGATGGCTTAAGCCTCTTTTTTTGTGACTGACATTTAACCTCATACGGCCGACTCGCGGCCGTCGTAGCCGTGTTTAAGTTATTTCAGTTATGCGCTGTGTGTGTTGCACAGAGGCCTGATCCCCCGACGATACAGACTTCCTTTATGGCCTCACCCGAGGGGAAAAAGTTGGAAATCCGCACTTTCAGCAGCTCGATTGACTCATTTTGAAGGCGTGGTCCGCGATGGGGTGCTGTTTTATTTCACATATGACTCATGAAGATATTATTTATACAGTCGCATTGATTTACAACTCTGCGGATCCATGTGTGACGTTACAGTTTATTCTTGGCCTTTTTTGCTTTCCCAATCAAAGTGTAGTTCCTCCTAAAAGAAGAATCCACGGTTTCTCCGCGGCCTCGATAGCAGAGTCTGGCCCCTTAGGTGGCTCCAAGAGCGTAACGCTGAGGAGCGGCGGGATCGGATTACAATAAAAAGAACAAGAGAAAGAGTAGCAGCCAGCTAACCTGCTGCAGCCTGGGCTGTTATTGCAGGTGCTCCAGAACAGACACAGATGTTAATGACCTCTCCAGAGCTGCACACGCTGAGCTGCAGCCGCACATGAGCTGCCTCACACGGTGTGCATGTTGGCATGCCAGAATAAACAGATTAGGATTTAAGGATCAGGAAACAATGGCAGGGGATGAAATGGTTTCTCGGTTTATAGAACCCTCTGGTCGAATCGCATAGTTGCTTTGGACCTTTTTGTGCTTTTAAAACAATTGTTGGGCGAGCAAGAGACAAGTTTTGCTTAATTCTGTTGTGAATCATATGTGTAGAATTTGTACTGGGGGGTCAGCTGTGCATTCAAAATATAATTCTGGTCATGTATTGGATTTATTAAGATATATATATATATTTACAATGTCTTGAATAACACAGCTTAAAAAGGCTGCAGCGCTCGTATGTGGTTTATCTCCCCTCTGTCCGTCAAAAGGCTGCTCCTCCTTCAGCCTGTCAACGCACATCAGTCACAACATCACGTGCTAAAAGGACACGAGTAGCTGTTAAATTGAGTGACTTGCCTGCAGGAAATACTTTGAGATAAGCATTCGTATTGGAGGAACATTATTTTCCCCCCGAATCATGTAGGATAAAAATGTTCAAAAAAACTACTGCAATTTGTTTTATCACATTCATTTTTCCTGCTGCTCCTTTTCTCCACCTGCGTAACGCGGCTTTCGAAACAAGCACAACAGCAGTTCTCTTGTTCTTCCTGTGAAGATCAAGTGGAATTAGCAATTACACCGGTTAAAAGCGCACAAACTCTCACTGGGAAGAAATGGGAAGATAAGCAGCTTGTGTCTCGAGGAGGCCAACATCTTTGAGCTGAAAAGGCTTCATTGAAGCACAAGTTTACATCTTTTCTACAATTAACAACTGCTTTTTCTGCTTGTGGTCAAGATGGTGGGTGTTCCCCCACCTTTTAAAACATGTGTTTATTTTAACTTCTTTTTTTTTCCATGGGAGTGAGAGCGAGGAAGAGGAGAAGGAGGAAGCTGAGAGAAAATCCTTAAATGTGAAAATGACTGGAACTCCCTGGGTTTTCAAAACAAAACTCAAGATTTCCTTACACATACTTGGACAACTGAGGCGATGGAAAACCCCTCCCTGTGCGCGCACGTGGACGCACGCACACACACGCACGCATTCATCCACTTAACAGCTGGGTTGGTCAGAGAAATAATAATAAGAATAATGTAAACTAAATAGAGCAGAGACAAATCCCGGGCCAGCAGAGGCAGCGCGTGTCGGCGGCTTCAGAAATATGCAGAACCCATCAATCACGACCGCGAGGCCCTCGGCTGCGCTGACAGGCGGCGGAGTTCTTTCCTTTCTTTCTCGCTGTCGGTGTGCGGACGGGTCAGTGGGCGTTGTGGGGCCGAGACCGTTCTACGGGTCCTCGTGTTTTTTTTCTTCTTTTTTTGCGGTTTAGACTGACTGATGATGAGGCGTCGCATCAAACCAGCGTCCTCACACTGTAAAGCTGACAGCCGACACTTTCGTTGGCTCGGTTCCCCCCCCGTGGGTTGTTTTATCCCACTTCGCTCTCGGCGTGCGACGCGTATCATGAAAAGCAACTGTTTGCCTTCTGTGGGAACGTTGTCACGCTGGCTTGACGTTTTACAAGTAACACCGCAAGCAGTAAATTGGCCTAAAGCCAAGAAAGGCGCAGCAAAGGGGGGCAGACGGTCCTGAGGGGCCACGCAGGAGTTTAGTCCCTAAAATTGAACCGTGGTTCGGAAAAGGACAAGGAGGGATTGAGGGTTGGAAGGAGGGGGTTTGGGTGTCCTCTGGCAGAGACAAAGCCCTCAGGGTTTCTGCTCTAAGATCTAACTTTGTCTGTGTAAACATGTCTGGAATGAAAAACTGAATGTGTGTGTGTGTGTGTGTGTGTGTGTGTGTGTGTGTGTGTGTGTGTGTGTGTGTGTGTGTGTGTGTGTGTGTGTGTGTGTGTGTGTGTGTGAAGCCCATTGAGTGAATGGATCTGGTAAAGGGAAGTGAAATGAAGAGCTGAAATACGAAGAATGTTGCTAATTTTCTGTAGTTTAGTGGCGCCTGAGCTACTGGTTGAGACATTTCATGGGGTCATGAAGCAGCTTTTAAGGGTATTTTTTTAGATTTTATCCGTTTTGTAAAAAAAAATCGTTTAATGATCCCGTTTTTTCTTAGGTCTACCGTCACAATGTTTTACACCTTCACGCTGGCCCCCTGAAATTCAGCCCCTACCCAGATATTTCTGACCAGATCATATTGTGTCGTACCCTCATCTGTCTGCAAACATTATGTTCAAACTGCACTGCTATGGAGCCAAATCCAGGTCAAGTTTTGTTCAATTGAAAAACAAATGTGAACCTAAAAGTGTTGTTGTTGAACATTGAAAAATACGACAATGTATTCAAAATAAAAATAAATATAGTATATATTTATATATATATATATATATAAAATATTTTTCGTCCACTTATTTTTATTTTGAATATATTGTTGTATTTTTCAATGTTCAACAATAAAACTTAAACTTTCAGGTTCACATTTGATTTTCAAATGTACAAAACTTTTGACCTGGATTTGGTTCCATACATTGCGAGTCTCTCTGGTGGCTTCCTGAGAAGCTAAGCTAATCGTCTCCTGGCACAAGTACATAACTGAAGGTGTTATTGATCTTCTCAATTAGCCCTCCGCGAGAACGCAAATATGCATATTACCCAAACGGTCTGTTAATTAAACCATGTTGTAATTCAGTTTAATGATGTCCATGAGAAAGCAGCCACAGTCCGTCTTTAAAATGATAAATCAGACTTTTGGAAAAGGCTTTGAAGATACAGTTGAACTGCTTAATCTGTTGTTTCAGCTGATACGTTACTGCAGAAACCCAAGCAGGTCGTAATTCTCACGAGTTTATACTGTGGAGCCTGTAGAAAAGGAGTTCATCATCGTCCTGATGTTCTCAGCCCCCCCCCAAGTTGACCGAGTGTCTCACTGCGTCCAATCGTTTCTTCACCCGCTCTCCGTCTATATTAGACACAGGGTGACAGCACAGCTGCCTCCGCGCCTCATCTGGGTCCATGTGTGCGTGCACAAGGATGAATGTGTGCCTTTGCAATAGATCTGGCATGGCGAATGAATGTTACGTAGCTTGTTTGACTGAGTACGCTGCCTCCCCGCTGCAGTCTCTGATCATGACATCGGACCCAAAAGGGGAATAATCACCAGGGAATTTGGCAGGCTTTGATCTCGGGGCTGTCCGGCTGTCCCGGTGAGGGTGCGTGCGCTGTGTGGCGACCAAATGATGTCCCACATGTCTCATGCGGGAGAACGAGCCACGTTTTAACCCCAAATGTATCATCCGGTGCAAGTGTACTTTTGTCAGTCAGGCAACTGGAAATCTGTCTTCAGCGGTCAATGCTATGAAATACGAAAAACCACAATAATGACCTTATCTTCAAGGCCAAGAACCACGGATGACATAAACAAACAGGAAGCATAATGAGACTATAAATACGTTCCTTGTCAGTTTACATTCCCATCCACAAACCCTGCAGATAAAAGCACAGCAGATCATGACAGTCAAAACGGCTGATCAGAGATGATAATGATTTCGGTGACACCTCTCTCTCAGTTTAAGAAAGAAGTCTGTATCCAATATGTTCCTCACGCAGCATTCTGGCATTAATCGTGAGCATATGTTGAAAGAGGATGCAGTGTCACTGGTTTACGATGCAAAGCTGATTTTAGGTTTGTCCTGCAGGATTGCTTTGCAGTTGTATGCTCTAAAGAATCCCTCTGCGTTGAGTCCTGCAGGGTGAAGGGCCTTGTATAACCCCTGCACACCAGCACTAAGATCTAGCTAAACAGGAACAGAAGTCCTTTTATAAGAACCTTTCCAGTGTGGAGGAAATGACCATTCATCATGGATGCATGCATGCAAGACATGTCTGACCCTATATTCTCTCTTTCTCCTTCCCTCTCTTTAACCTCAATAAAAATTCTCAATTACACAATATTTAGCTCA